GAAAACATCTTCACAGGCAGTATCTACTTGTTTCCTCCTGGTTATGCCACTTCCACAATTTCTATCCCAAGTTTCATCAATCCCATTTGAGCAATCCTCCAAACCATCCACCAGCCATGAAGCTGGAATACGTAGTTTTCTGTTGGTAATATAATGCCTGTAGCATCTCTGCTGAGTTAAGATCCGACATGAAGGATGGGTCTCATCAGCACCGCGTACACAGTCCCAGGTCTCGTCACAGAGTTGGTGTTTGTGTACGGTGCAGGATGGTGTGACCTCAATACACGCTATGTCCATATCATTCTCACAAAACCCTCTGTTAAACTTGCCACAGACCATTGTTTTAGAAATGGTACTGATACCGTATCCAGGAATGTGGCATTTAACAGCAACCCTTGCCTTGTCCGTACAGTTGGTCTGATCTATGTAGTCTAGGCAGTATGGGGTCCCAGTCTTGATTACTTCTTCCATGTTTTGAGTATACCGGATGTAATAATCTAACGTGGAACTTGAATCTATTGCTGCACAACGTGTGTAGTTAAAAATGGGTATTCTTCGTTTTATGGAGTTTAGTCTGTACAGCTCCCCACTCATGCAGCTTGGTATTTTAGGGTGGATGGTGGAACAGATCTTATGGTCATCAAAATGTGTGAGAGATTGGGCACAATCAATCTTACCATCACATATTTCGTAGTAGGGGACATATTTTAAATAAACATTTTTTCCAGTTGCAGTATCAATCGATCGGCATGTGCTACCATAGAAGTAACCATTGCATTCACTCTCGTCTATACAATTACTTTCATCACAAATTGTGTCGCACGTTTTCTTTACCTTTGATGTTTCGTGATCTGTTTGTCCAGCTTGTGGATTCCTCTCCGGTCCTAAATCTATGTCGTCACCCAAAGTTTCATCACACTTTAGGTTGTCCGTTTGAACCTGATTGATATTCCAGCATGTATTTTGGCATAGTTCCTCTCTGGAATTTTGTAAAGTACTCGTTACTAGACTGCAAGGGAGATAGCCACAAAGTGACCAGTTTGTGGTGGCTAGAGTGTGTCCTGGTTTACTCCCGCACATCTGAAATTGTTAAATAGAGTGATCTTCCTCTTGATTTAGTACTTAAACATTACTTATAAGTCTCTCAAAAACTCAATCGACACCTCAAAACATCATATATTTTTTGTTAACCTGATAACCATATGTATCATTGGAGCAGGACATGTTGAAGATTTGTCTGTTGCTGTAAGCAAGGAGTGGTGGAATAATCCTGTAATACTCCTCTGAATAAGCACACTTGTAAGTGGGCATGTAGATATCCAGCTGAGATCCCGAGTGGCATTTGTTTTTTAGGTATCCTCTAACTTCTTGTACTTCACACCACTCTGAGGTAATTATTGGTGGTGAAACTAAAATACGCGGGTTCTCATGAGTTATAAACCATTGGCATTATATGATACAAGCTGAAGTAATGTAAAACACTGTGTTCTGTGATTATAATCTATAATATGGGTAAAGGTGTTATATCAGATTCTTGACGACTATTCTTATAGCCGTTATTATTAAGTTCAATTGAAGATAGCACTTTTGCAAAGAGTCTAAATAAAAAACTGATAGGAACTCAGTTTCCTTTTATTAAATCACTTAAACCCATGTTATCAACATATCATCGGTTACCTTTTGAAATTTCGACCAGTGTCAGCAGTTGAATTGCGTATCTGATGAGGAATCGATCCGAAGGTCTAATTAAGGGCGTCATTCCTTTTTAAATGAGAGGTCATAGATTTTGGGGGAAAAGTCGATTTGGCACCCGAATCATTGAGCTCATTTGACATAATGCTGATTGACAGACGAAACAAAAAGTATAGTGACGGCAAAAGGCTGAAGAAAGCGACAAAATCTGTATACTAGAAGCGGAAAAAAAGGAATGCGTTCACCGCCAATGCGCTGGCGAGATTTTATATTTTACACGTAGATTTTATCATTGTTAATTGTGGCCAATAGAATTTTAGGGATTCAACCTTTATCCTATACATAATATATGAATTGTGTCACACATAGTATCATTTGTCAAGAGCTATTTTTATGATCTGGGGATAAATTCTGGGGATAAATTCTGGGGATAAATTCTGGGGATAAATTCTGGGAATATGATCTGGGTATATAAACTGGTGATATGATCTGGGAATATAAACTGGTGATATGATCTGGGAATATAAACTGGGATATAAACTGGTGATATAAACTGGTGATATAAACTGGGATATAAACTGGGAATATACGATCTGGGTATATAAACTGGGAATATAAACTGGTGATATGATCTGGGAATATAAACTGGGATATAAACTGGTGATATAAACTGGGAATATAAACTGGGATATAAACTGGGAATATACGATCTGGGTATATAAACTGGGAATATAAACTGGTGATATAAACTGGGAATATAAACTGGGATATAAACTGGGAATATACGATCTGGGTATATAAACTGGGAATATAAACTGGTGATATGATCTGGGAATATAAACTGGTGATATGATCTGGGAATATAAACTGGTGATATAAACTGGTGATATAAACTGGTGATATAAACTGGTGATATGATCTGGTGATATGATCTGGGAATATAATCTGGTGATATGATCTGGGAATATAAACTGGTGATGTAAACTGGGAATATAAACTGGTGATATAAACTGGGGATAGTAATGATATTTGATTATTAATTATCTGGACATTGCAAACTTCAAAATACTGAGGAGTGAGGAGAGAGCTGTTGTGAACGCTTTTTATAGGTAAATATGCTCAGCATATTCTTTTGTTTCAGAAGCAACGCAATTTTTGTACGTTTTAAGAAATAATTTTATATCTCAATAGAAATTTTTATTTTCGAAGCATGTTTCTCGCATCCTAGCCTTTCAAAAATGACAATCACAAAGGAAGATTTTAGAAGCTTCTGTAGCTAAAATTTTTAAATATATTTGTGTAAAGCTATATGTTTGAAATAAAAACAATTTTTAAGTTAAAGTACAGTAAGGGCAAAATTATGGAACTTCAAATTTAAGGAGCCGTAACCGGCAGTGCTGCACGCCGCCGCCGAACGCCGGCGCCGGCGCCGATGATTTTCCGGCCGCCGGCGTTTTTAAATACTGGTATACCAATTATTGCTACACGTTGTATACCTCTCGTGCACGCGAAGCGTGCACGCCGGCCGGCCGGCCGGCGCGCGATCAAAAGGGGTTGCAGCGTGTGTCAAACCAATTAGTATTACTTGTGGTTTAATTGTAAAACATAGCAAATGCAATTAATCTCAGCACACAGGCGTACACAGTGTTATATTTATACTCTATAGTGTAAAAAACACTAACTATATTAACACGATTTCATTACATGAGTGATTCTCAAATGATAACAGCTGCTATTGTACTGGTCACGTGTACGATCACGTGACTGTTTTCACGGTTAATTGCTCTCTGCCGTATCCTGATGTGAATATGCTAGTAAGAGAGGGAGGAACAAATTGGGGTCATTTTAGCTGTTAATGTATTAAACTCAGCACACAGGCGCACATATTGCTTACTAACTATTGACCCGATTTCATTATGAGTACTATAAACTCAATAAAGTAGTACTAAGTACTGATTCTTAAATGATAACAGTTTCTATTGTGCTTATCACGTGTACGATCACGTGACTGTTTTCACGGTTAATTCAAGAAAACAACAAATTTCAAGAAAACAACAAATTTTTATTTAAATCAATTATAGCAACAATTTGAAAAACTTTAAAGCTCTTCTATTACCATGGAATATACTACGGGTATGGTGACTTGGGCTATTGAGTTGTTAAGTAGATTAAGATTAGTAAACCTGCACTTGCATTGTATATTTTATAAAAACTAGAAATTAGGCTTCACGGTAAAATGGAGAAGCAGGCTGATCTTGGAGAGAGCAGACCGTAAAGTTTACGCACCCACCAGGGCTACCTACCTACCCCAGTTGTTCTTTTTGGTTTATCAGCTTGTATTGTTATATTTATGGACCCCAAGTCACCACACTAAGAAGGAGTATGTAAAAAAAAATAATAATAATAATAATAATAAATTAAGTTAACATCATCATATCTGTTTAAAACAGTAAAAGTCAAGTTGAGGATTGACTTTCCTAGTTAATTTAAAGGTTCAAACGTTTGGGAATATAATAATGTTGGTATTTGTATCTGCTGCAGCAATAATATCGAAATATCATTTGTCTAGAAAATTTTCGCCACTTCAATAGATATTGGGTCGGCAATTTGGTGAGTGAGTGATGAAATGGTTTGGTCTGTGATTGAGTGAGGGGCGATGTGAAAGTTGTGGTAAGTCCAGGTGTTATTATTGTTGATGGATTGAGATCCCAGGATGATACTTTTACAGCGTAATTTAACCAAAGCTACAGAAGTAGTGAGGATTTCCCCATTCTCATTTAGAATCCGTTTATGTATGCTATTCCACAATTTGGAGGCTATATAAAGAAAAGTGTTGGTTTTTCTTGGGAGGATTATGACATTGCTTGTATCACGTTTTGATGAGTTTATAGTACAATACAACGAGTATGGAGTGCGAAATTTCATAATTCGAAATATCTCAGATATACAGTGGTATTTGTACAAGTTTTGAACAGTAAGCAATTTTAGTCGATTAAAAATGGGCTTGGTGTGCTCTCTGCCGTATCCTGATGTGAATATGCTAGTAAGAGAGGGAGGAACAAATTGGGGTCATTTTAGCTGTTAATGTATTAAACTCAGCACACATGCGCACATATTGCTTATTAACTATTAACCCGATTTCATTATGAGTACTAAAGTAGTACTAAGTACTGATTCTTAAATGATAACAGCTTCTATTGTGCTGGTCACGTGACTGTTTTCACGGTTAATTGCTCTCTGCCGTATTTTGATGTGGATATGATAATTGATAGTTAAGGGGGTGAGGAACAAATTTGAGTCATTTTAGCTGTTAGTGCAGTATCAGTTCTTTGCGTGTTGGTGACTGGTGAGTTGGATAGTATTGCGGAGGCAAATCTTATCAAAATGAAAAGGTTACTTCTACTGATTGCAATGATATGGTATGTAGACGGAAAGAAGAAACTCAAGCCCACTCTCGAGGATATACACGAATACAGCACTGATGAGTCAGTAGTATTTGCTAAACCAGTTGTTATCAACGCCAGGAAGATGCACAAAGCTTTAAAAAACCCAGATGTGGTATCCACATGCCGTTACATTCTCTTTAAAACATACAAGACATTCCACAAAGCTAAAGAATCCTGCGAAAAGCTCCAAATGCCTCTAACCCACACCAACTCTTCAATAGCTGTTATCAAAACAAGGGAAGACAACAAGGACATAACCCATCTTCTGCAGCTAGCGTATGGGGTGAAACAGGTCGGAAGGAGGTTTGATAGGCGGAATTGGGTGTGGGTTGGGTTAAAGAAAGTACATAACACCGGCAAGGTCCTGAAGAAGAATAAGCGAGGACCTAAGAATTTCAACGCTTCAGAGTGGAGATGGGATGATGGTTCAATCCCGGAGTACGTGCGGTGGTTGAGGGATATGCCGGATCAGGAGAAAGCAGGAAAAAATTATCAAGATCACGTTTCAGTCAGCAAACGAGGAAGATGGGACGATACATTTCCCTACAAGAAAATGCCCTACGCCTGCAACTATTGTGGAAAATACATTGTTTTAGCCCAACATGTCACATGGTCACACGCCAAGTTCCTGTGTAAATCTTACGGTTTAACCATGGCGATGGTTAACAGCAAACGGGACAACGACGATCTAGCGATGGCTGTGAAAATGGAGTTCGGGGAAGATACTGAGAAAAAGAGGTGGGATGATAATAATTGGATCTGGCTTGGAAGTCAAGAAATTATGCAAAATGGCACGGGGACAAGTAAGTGATTTAAACTACCTTACGAGACATACTTATGTTCGACCTAAATGTTTTGGGAACGAAAATATGGGAATTTTACCGAAAACCGCCAAATTTCGTAATCCAAATTAAATCATGGTATTTGGGAATTTTTTCCCCCAGAAAATTACATACAAAGATCTTCTCTGATCAGCTGTTTCATCTTGTAAACAGTTTCTCCAGTGTCCAGAGCCTTTGAAATTGAAAGTATTAGCCTTAAATTAAGTTAACTTTTAAACTAGGAGACCGACGGTGTCTGTTAGACTTAGTGTCATCTTCCACTACTCCCGATTTTGCCTTTTTGAAATATCATGCACGATTGATTTAAAAAAATGTTTATCATAGAATGATTTAAAGTAATTTTCATCACTGATCGGTTATATAAATATAATTATAAATCATCATTGAAGAAAAATGAATAAATATCAGTCATCAGATTATTATTAAATCATGCTAAGAAATTTCATATTCCCAGAAATATGGCAACATCACGACGGTTCCCCCTTGCTGTGGGTGTCCCCGAAATGGGACACGAAGAGGCAACCAGACAACTGGAGTAAACAGAGATGGGGTGAAGAGCGGGTGGTTGCCTTCTCTCGGATCAACCACAAGTGGGATGATTCGTATCCTGAAAGGAAACGCCCGTTTGCATGCATGTGTCCGCACATGTCTTGTGAATCAAATGTTTACCATCATTAACGAGAACTTGGTTGTTTATATGATTATGAGTGAACATTTGTTTAATTAGTTAATTTGATTGATGCCGTGACAAAATGTTTTGTGCGAAAAATAACAATTTGCTTCATCATTATTTCTTTATCATTTATCAGAGATATTGTTTTCATGTTTCCCGCGTGCGTTGAATGACAAATATTTCCCACTAGGGTCATTTTGTGAGGCATATTTCAAATACGATTACATTTTTCAATCATACAGAATTACAGTCCCATTACAGTGTAAAATCCAAAATTCTTCATTCACATTCTTAATCTGATTACAAACTTACCTGGGGACCTCAGGCTATCATGTTCATAAATAGAGATTAGGCGGAATGACAGGCTGAGCACGGCCCAGTAAATTACAAACCTAATTTGTATTCCCTGCAGGAACAGTAGACTTCATTTCTTTGTCCGTCTTGTTTTCTTCTTAAAAAGTCAACGTAGGGATCTGACATTAGAACACGATGGTCCGTTGTCGACTTTACCTGATCACTATACTGTGGACGCTGTTTATTGTTAGTTGTTGGAGTGCCGATTGTGAGAAAGGAGATGGTCGGTGTGTTAGAACCCCTTGTAAAGACCGGGAGCCCCACGCTATGGAAAACGCTTGTAGCTGGTGGATGTTCAACAACTATCACGTGGTCATGACCTCTGAGAACTGGGTACCCTGCCCTCAGTTCAGCTATTCCGCCAAGAAAAGCTGCGGTTATTGGATTGCAAAGTGTAAGAGATCCGGGAGAAACTTTCATTGCTGTGCTTCCGTACACTGTATGGCAACGCGACGTGGTGGTGTGGGCCGGTGAGGTTGCTTCCGTGCACTGTATGGCAACGCGACGTGGTGGGGTGGGCCGGTGAGGTTGCTTCCGTGCACTGTATGGCAACGCGACGTGGTGGAGTGGGCCGGTGAGGTTGATTCCGTGCACTGTATGGCAACGCGACGTGGTGGGGTGGGCTGGTGAGGTTGCTTCCGTGCACTGTATGGCAACGCGACGTGGTGGGGTGGGCCGGTGAGGTTGCTTCCGTGCACTGTATGGCAACGCGACGTGGTGGGGTGGGCCGGTGAGGTTGCTTCCGTGCACTGTATGGCAACGCGACGTGGTGGGGTGGGCCGGTGAGGTTGCTTCCGTGCACTGTATGGCAACGCGACGTGGTGGGGTGGGCCGGTGAGGTTGCTTCCGTGCACTGTATGGCAACGCGACGTGGTGGGGTGGGCCGGTGAGGTTGCTTCCGTGCACTGTATGGCAACGCGACGTGGTGGGGTGGGCCGGTGAGGTTGCTTCCGTGCACTGTATGGCAACGCGGCGTGGTGGGGTGGGCCGGTGAGGTTGCTTCCGTGCACTGTATGGCAACGCGACGTGGTGGAGTGGGCCGGTGAGGTTGCTTCCGTGCACTGTATGGCAACGCGACGTGGTGGGGTGGGCCGGTGAGGTTGCTTCCGTGCAATGTATGGCAACGCGACGTGGTGGGGTGGGCCGGTGAGGATGCTTTTGATATTTTTGGTGGTGTGGAGTGTGGACTTAGTAATTTTGTGGTTTAACCGTCGTGACATATTAAAACAATCCGCATCAATATGAACACTTCTATAAGTGGCCCAATTTGGTACAATTTCAGTCTGGTGTCACGCGAAGGAATGGTTTCTAACGTTTCATTGCTGTAAACTAATGACGACATCAGTAATTAAGGCATACTGCCATTGAAACCGATGGTATATTGGTATAATAAGGTGCCATGATTCAATAAAGCCTTTGGTGGGGCGGTTATGAATTATCAAACACCTTGTGAAACTCACTGTTAATTTGATTCAACTAAATGAATTATAATGATTAAATAATCGTCAAACTATCTCTCGAATTACAATTTACCCAATGATTATTTGTATACTGTTTTTAACATTAACATAACTGTACACATTAATTGGTTTTATTTTCTCGAATTCGTTAAGTATATTTAAACTTTTTTGGTTTGAGCATTAGGCAGAAAAATAAGCGAAAATGAACCAAACAACTAACAAAAGTAATAATACAAAAATGTATTGTCCGATACAATTCACAATTAATTAAGTGAGCGTAATACTATAACGTGAATAAAAGAGATATGCATTCTTTGAGAGGAGATCAGAATTGTACTAATTTATGTTCTAGCTAGAGCATACAGATCCGCAATCCGCATTTTGCATATATACCTAATGCTCTTGTCAGTTAACAACAGCTCAGCAAGCGTGTACTTGAAATTTCCCTGGACCAAAATTTCACAGTTTTGACTGAAATTTTCTCTAGTTACCAATTATTCAGTCAACTATGAATGGCATAAGACACAATTGAGCCACCGGAAGTTTAATTCAGACCAAAGAAATTTCTGTCCTATTTTCAAACATGAACGAAAGAGAGTCATGTATTAAAGAGACATGACATCTACATTCTACATCACTTATTCGCTTGACTTGATATACAATGCCATACATTGTGATGCAATGCAAACAAGCAAGCATATAATTTGTTAACATTTACATTTTAACATGCAACTGCAAGTATTGAAAAATACTATCTTCTCAATCTCTCTTCATCATTTGAACTTTCGAATCAAAGTAATATTGACCACTTATTGTTTATTTGCGAGAATGTCTCAATTGCTTCCAATCAAGGCCAAATATGACATAACCCCTCCTTAGTCATTATATCCCTGTCCCGCAGGCCGCATCGGGGTTTGCAGTTCCTCTTCGTCCCAACTTCCTTCAGTAACATAGACGAATAGCTTAATTTTTCTTTAATGAAAACTAAATAATATCTTGGTAGGATCATGGGTGTTGAAATTCTATACCCCATCATTAACAGAGCGACAGCTCCTATAAAATCAGTGAACATTGACGATCTCAGCAGTCAACTTAACAGAACCTTTATGTTCTATTTATCACTTGTCTTTGCTGTCACTATCACTATCAGGTTAGTTTCTGTTTCATTATCAGGTTGGTTTCTGTTTCACTACCAATTTTGGTCCTTTGTTCAATTTGATCTTCAAGTTCAATCGTACGTCGCATCTAAAATGATTCGAATTTTATGTAATTATCAGGTTCATGATAAAAATCGCCCCTAGTCCCTACCCTTTCAAATAAAAATTTATTCCACTTTCGCTATCGTCTTAACTTTGCTTTCACTTTCACTTTCTCACGACTCACATTCCCTTTCACCTCTACAGACAACAGCTAGGTGGATCGGTTATAGCGTGTGATGGCTTCCAACGAGACGAAGACTACGAAAGGTTTGCGGAGGACTGGTGCTGGAGTTCTGGGATCTACACTATTAAAGAGGCGTACGAAATGCGGGACAGGGCCAGTCCTTATCCTGGTGGGTTTGCATCATAACATTGTGTCAGATAACATGACATTGTGTCATTAAATATTGTGTCAGATAACATGACATTGTGTCATTAAATATTGTGTCATAAGACATTGTGTCATAAAACATTGTGTCGCAAAAAACATTGTGTCATAAAACATTGTGTCGCATAAAACATTGTATCGCATAAAACATTGTGTCGCATAAAACATTGTGTCGCATAAAACATTGTGTCATAAAAATATTGTGTCATAAAACATTATGTCATAAAACATTGTGTCATAAAACATTGTGTCATAGAACATTGTGTCACTCTGTCTTAATTTCAGTACTCCTTTCGTGTTACAGCTTTAATTGTTCACACTAAATTATCCATTGTTTCTGGTATTTTGTCATGACGTCACAGTGATTAATCCTATTAATGTTGTCAGGTATAGTTCCCGAGGACCTGCCAGCATGTGTTGAGTTTGAGCTGAAATCAGGTGGAAGGATAGAGTGTCCAGACGAGAAAGATGTCAAACCTCTTACTAGAATATATCAAACTTGGTATGTAAATAAATAAATAATCTGTTAAAGACATGTTTCAAGTATCAGATAGGAATATTAAGTTGAGTCGTGTTTAGACTGTTGACGAACTGGATATTGAGACAAGTTCGCTGCTGAGAATACTAAAATCGCGTCCTCAACCAGTATTTCAAAATCATTGAAATATCTCAAAAGACAAGAGTGACACATTCACTTTCACTTTCACTTTTATTTTGTAGTCCCTCTAATGCTTCACTGACGAACAATAACCCAAGGTATCCGTTTGTTATGTTCTACTACTGGCTTACTGCACTGATGTTCTTCCTCCCCTACCAATTATACAAATTGTTTGGTTTCGACAAGGTCAAAGCAGTTGTGTCTATGTTGCAAAATCCGGTGAGTGTTTCAGTTTTGTTATACAGTATACATTTGTTCTTATCAGAGATTCGACTTGATCACTGAAGGGGAAAATGAGCGTAATTATTTTTCCTGACATGTAACACGTGACAGCTATCAACCAATGAGCTTCCAGCAGCGATCACGGATCAATCATATCGCAAAATAACCGTCACGTGTCCGAGAAAGTATGGCTCTAATTCTCGTTAACAACTAACGTGAACCTAAGTGCGTAGATACGACTGTTGTTCATTTAATTAAACGCGAAAGTCTGATACTGTGAGTAATGACAGTAACTTGTTAACTGAACCTGCTGAGCTGTGAATATCAATGTAATTCTGGTCCACTCTCTCTGGTAACACAAGTAACAACTTTAAGGTAGAGGACGGTTCTTTGAAGAAAATTTCTGTTTTTTTAAATAGACTCAGCGATTACAATGTTCTAATAAAGGTAAATGAATAAATCACATATTGATCAAATGAGACTCAATAACACTTATACATAACTTTAAGGTAGAGGACGGGTTTGAAAAGAAAGAGATGATAAAGAGGGGTTCAGTTTGGCTCTATCTCCAATCAACCATGTCTCTCTCACACCAATCTTTATACTCTTCATTTGTGGTGAAACATAGTCTTGCTTTCTACGCTTTGCTTGTAAAGGTTTGTGCAGTATTTTAGTTCTGTGATATGTGTGACGTCCTAAGGTTAAATTGCAAGCTTTTATTTTGAATCTACTAGAGTTAAGTAGGACATTGGGAGTTGTAAATTGTAATAATAATTAAATTTTCAAATTCTTTACAATAATTTGACTGAAGGATTTTGATACATTCTCAGATTATGTTCCTGGGTAACACGATTATGATGTACTGGCTGACTCACAAAATGTTCAAGTTCGGATCGTTTGCGGAGTATGGGTTGCTGTGGGAGATGAACACGCCAGTTGACAATGTTAACAGCTTGATTCAAGAAAAACTCTTTCCTAAAGTCGCCGCTTGTGAAGTCAAGCGGTTTGGGGCTACGGGTTAGTTTTTCGTTTAATCACGTAAGAGTAGAATAAGTCCATGATTTTTATAGTTCTATCACCAAAACACACAAACCATCTTTGTGTTTTCAAAATCTACAATCTTAGTGTTTGAAAAATGGATAAATCATCATAATGACCTCAAATAACCTCAAATAACCTCAAATAACCTTACATAACCTCCTCAGGTATGGATGAGGATCAGGGTATGTGTATGCTAACCCTCAACGTTCTCAACCAATACCTATTTCTCGCGTTCTGGTTCTGTCTCATCATCATTACTATCATTAACTGTTTCTCCCTCCTTTTTACCCTTATAAACATCCTCTTCCCCTCCCTTATGCTCAAACAGTTCCTCGTCTCATCCTCACTTGATAGAAGTCCGGCAGTCGGGGTCATTTCTAAACTCTACCTAGATTCTGGGTCTTCGATGAGGTTTATGATGGACATTTTCGCGCGTAACGTTGACCCCAAGCTGTTCGGGGAGATATTAGTCCAGCTCTATTCTCTGTTGGGTGACGATTCGAAAACCGAGGGGGTGCAAGTGTTTCATAGACGGCCTCAGAAACAGAAAGTAAACCTGCTGTCTAAGAGCAAGGTGGATAATAAGTTGGGGAAGTTTTTACCCAAAATGGTTGCTCAGAAGAAAAGACCAACAAACATAAACACAAAAGTTACGCGATTTAACCGAACAGTGGATGAACTGAAAGAATATAACCTTACGATGAGAAGTAAACAGCATTTAAGGCAGGAAAATGTTACTGATGAGGTGAGAGAGTTGGAAAAAGAGACGGATTGTCTTCTTCCTTCAAACCAGATAGACATCAGTGACTTGACGAATATTAAGTCACGTGATGAAGATAAAATTCCAGAGCCTCAACATCCCACATGTGAATCGGAAGGTGAAATCACTGATACAGATGATGAACAGCAAGTAATGGGGGACCCGTTAATAATCACACATGACATTCACGATTCTGATGACAAAGTAGAGGTAATGTCAGAGGAACCTTTGGAAATCAGGGAGGAACTTGAAATAACTGACGAAGAGGACTTAGAAGAATCTCCTCTAACGGAAGAATATTTTGAAAGTAGCTCGACAGTGAAAAGAGCTGATATTGATCCATCAGAGTCTGAAGAAGAGGGTGATATGAAGAGTACGCTGCCTCTTCAAATACCAATCGTTATGTTGAACGATGATGTGCTCTCTCTTAAGTCAGTGAATCTATAATGAAATAAATTCTACGCACACTTGAAACACAAGAAAAAGTTTTCGAAATCTTAGAGGACCGTTTGACGCGAAATGCGAATCCTGTCACCTGTTTAAGATAGTTTAGTTTTTGTCGGGTATTCAAGTGAAGGCTGACAGTGACGGGAATGCGAAAGTGAAAGCAAAAGTGATCGCCGATGGGCTGCAATGTGTACAGATTAAGAGATTACGATGTTCTTTGTAGCGTACTGAACTGCAGTCCGAGGGCTGAGCTCTAGTCACTTTATTACGTGACTAACACAGACCAGTTTACTTTTTACCTTATGCTACGATCACTACAAACATCCACACAATATTCTTCACAGCACCTATATCGAGCAAAGGAAAATATTGTCTCTACGAATTTTAAAAAATTACTTGTTTCAAATAATATGAACCGCTTGTTTCAATGATGATTCGAATTTTTATGAATATATGACACAAATCGTTCAAATTTTTGGAAAAATTCAAGTCAGATATTAGAAAACTTTCTCAATGCGTACAAATTGACATACCTTTCAGCCATGAATATCACAAAATTAAATGGTCTGATCTTTACAGTATGGGTGTATGAATGTTGTATTTTCTAACATTCATAGAAACGGGTTCCATATTTGGTTGAAACGGTAGCAGGATTTGATTGGTTAAAACGGATCACAAGATCCTACTTTACAGTACTCCGAATCAGCATTTGGTCTTTGTCCCCAACGTGCTTTGTTCAACATCAACTTTATAGAGAATTAGATTATGTAAGATCCACGGTTTGTAGTTTCTCACCAGCTCAAACAAGAGCAGAAGCACCAATCAGAGAGCAGTATTCTAGTCAGGTGACTCACACTATCCAACCAAAGCGCTGTATTTTAGGTACTTACTTTTAAGTTTGGTCGATCCTCGCTCGAAATACCGTTCATTATGCTCCGTGCAGAACTTCATGATCAAAGCTGTTCGGATAGCATCCAGTTCTAAACCCGTTGCATTTTCAAATGATGACTTATTTGACTTACTTGACTTAAGGCGGCTTCAGCGTCCGAGTATTGATGCGCTGTCTCAATAAAACTCTATCCGCCATAAGTCCGCCCATTTCTCCAGTGTCGTTGAGACCCGTGTCAGCTCGTAGGCTATCAACATAGGTCATGGCTGGTCTCCCCCTACTCCGCACCCCATGAGTTGGTTCCCAGAGTAGCAAGCGGTTTGCGACTAGTTCTGGGTGCCGGTGGATATGGCCTGCTAGTCGCATCCTGCGCTTTTGGATCTTCATGGTTGCTCTCGTTAGGTTGCCATAGACTTCTTTGTTGGTTTTTCGCTGCTTCCAATCCACATTAAGTGCCATCCTTAGCATTCTAGTGTAGCAGCCATCAATGCGTTTCTTCAATTGCTCTGTCAACGTCCACGTCTCAGCTAACCATAAAGGAGTATTGACTCCACAGTAGCAACAAATAGACGGATCTTTAGTCCTCTTCTAAGGTCAGACTTCCACATCTTCTTAAGCTTGTGGCAGGCTGCCCAAGCCTAAGCTTTTCTGACCCGCAGGTCCCTCTCTGTTGTTGCTATCCAAGCTCCAAGGTAAACAAAGTCTGTCACCTTTTCCAGCTGGTTTCCAGAACAGCTATTAAGACTGCTCGCCTCCTTTGTCATGTTCAGAGTCATGAACTTAGTTTTAGTGCCGTTCATGGCTAGCCCAACACTCAGTGCTGCTTTCTCAAGCCTGTCCAGGAGTAGTTTTGCCCCTTCAATGGTATCAGTGATAAGGGCAACATCATCTGCAAACTCGACGTCTGCGATCTTCTCGGCACCAATCCTTCTACTCCGTGCAGGCCTGAGAGTGAACCCAGAGTCCGAGTCATCATCGTCTATAGTCACTGTCATGATATAGTCAATCAAGATAATGAACAAGTACGGGGCAAGAGTGTCTCCTTGCAGTACTCCAGCCAGGATATCAAAAATTTCTGTTATACCATCGGCTGTAACTACTTTAGCCTTTGTGCTCGTATAGCTCGTAACTAAATGATAGAGGTTAGTTTTTACGGTTGCAGTGTTCCTGTTAGTTACCAAAATCATACTAACCAATCAAGGGGCTGTATTGAGAGCTGAGTCCAGACAAATGTGTTTATCGAACCAATCACGAGTGTGACAATCGTTTTAACTAAATAAATAATTTTGTTTAATGCTTCTGAATTCTGAACGCTAAATTAATTCCCAATGATGATGAGGTTGAATTTTGAACGGGAAGTTATAGAAAGTTTAATAATTAGGCATTTTCATGGCGAAAATTCACCACACGGTTTAACTTTAACTTTCAAATTGCATAGCGGTATTTCAATAATGCGGGAAATTATAATAGTAGCACTGCTTTCTGGAAATAACAGCGGTCCAATATAAAAGTAAGACCGCGGGAATTTCGTAATAAATAGCCGATTTCGCGGAGAGATATCATTGTTTGCACTTAGTTGTAACAGTGTGACATGTGAAACTACAACTCATAGCAACACTGCGTAGCTGTAATCCACTTTTCTTCTTAAATTTAATCAGATAGACTTCGATTAGACTCTTTTAAACCAGCTGCGTTAAAATACGAGGGCACGTGGTTGGAATAGAGCACGCTGATTGGTTGAGGTAGGAGCCGCAGAAACAGCTAGATTTCATCCTAAAACAATGAAATTTCTGAATCCCGATTCCGAAACTCATTGTTTTTAGCCCACGTGGTGCTGTGTTTTATGAAAGATCCCGTTATTTGTTGCGCCAATATTCTGGGTTGATGTTACAATTCACACCCATCCGCTTAGTACGTTCAGCTCACAATGGATCGGTTCTCTAGCACTATCAGTGGGTACTTACGAGAGCTAGCAGTTATAGAGGGGGATATGTCTCATTATAGAGGTGTATGGGGCCGGGGCTCTATTAAGGAGAGGAGGTCGGGGACCCTTAGGGTACACCACTCACGTCTCACTCTCCTCCTCCCCAACATCACGCTTTATTGCACGCACCCCCTTCCTCCAGACACACCATCTCATTTTGCTGAGAGCCATCACTTTTATTAGTGCACTTTTTGACATGTTATTATTACTCCCTGTTCCTTTGTCGATAGCTACTCAACGGCACCTCCGCAAGCATTCTGTCCCTACGCAACCAATAACGGGGTGAGATCCGGCGCGTGCCGGACATCCAACCAATCAGCAGTGATCGCAGCGTGTCACGTGGTATGGGTCACGTGTTGAGGTCACGTGGTCCCAATAAAGGCAGGGTTGACACTTGATAATGCTGATTCGTGGTGCAGCAACAGCTCCTAACGTCAACCCTCTACCGCACTTGAGATCCCAGTTACTCTGCGAGGGATCTTTGTTACATAGCTCGACATCATCAATATTGATCATATCAATATTGGGTCCACCAATCGTGGAGCACCAGTCTCGCGAAACATGTTACCCCTGTAAATATCATATTGGCTGGTGATGCAAAGCAGCTACTTGAAGTTGAGAATTTAGAAAAGGTCCCCTTTGCCTTGTCGTTTTTTTTGTAAGTTTGAATTTAGACGAGTCAAGATAATGTTTTTTAATTTTTAGTTTACCTGAACTTTCTAAGTCGAACACATTAATTTCTTTGCTGCGTTTCGTTTTTTATTGCCGAATGCTTTGATTTTGCGATGGTTTCCAATTCCTCTGCACGAATCAAATTTAGAACTGATATATAGCTTTTTAAAGATAATTCAATAAAAAATTCGATCTATTGGAATAATAAATTCTTGTTATAACTTAATACAAAGTAACATTAACTGTGATTTTAAAAAGGCACATCGATTGACATTTGACAGTTATAATAAGTGTAAACTTGTTAGACATTGACATTAACCATTATAAAATATAAACACTAAACATCCACTTTATTTTTAAGATGGTAGTTGGTGAAACTGTAAACATGATCGACTCTTCTCCTTTATGGTAAGTTTGAATTTCACTACTTTTTTAATTTCACTACTGTTTCCTTCACTATTATAGTAATAAATCATATAATTATTTGTTTTTTATTGAATGAAATACTTGAAACTGAAAGTCACTCCTGAAACCACCAAATACCAATTAAACAAAACACCTTAATAATGATATGGTACCTGATAGGGCATATTGAAACCTGCTGATTGCCTTATAACTTACATGGTGTGGATTAATTTACCTCAATTTACAGCCTTTATTGTAGTATCTCTAAAATGAAGCATCATCTCACTTCTTCATTCTCGATTTTATTTACAAAGTTATCCATAGTTATCAACCTCTTGTGTTGCGGCCTGAGAGCAGTTACCAATTTCTAACAAATGTTCATAAAACGGCCCTTTTAAGGTTCCGTGATACACAGTAAAAATTACATACTTAACGCATGAATCAAGTGGTCACCAAATCTGCAACTTATTTTTGAATGATATCAGATTTTCAAAGCCAACTGAAAGTGAATGATTTAACTCCTATATATATATTTCAAAGGCTATGTAGATTTCTCATCTCTGCAGAATTCTTAGAATTTGCTCTATTTTTGCGAATTCTAAAAATATGTTTTTGCAACAATGCTACGTCTTTTGACTATAATTTACTTTATCCATGATAAATAAAATTGCGAAAAAAAAGGAAACGATTTTTTATGAGAAAAACTGTAAAACTTTGCCCAGCATAAGAAAAATATCTGTTTCATATTCAGAAAATACTGACCGTTAAAAAATTTGATGCCGCGTCCAAATTATTTTTGGTACGAACTTTACTTTTCACCGACCTCGCACAAGTGCACTTGTCTGCAAAGTTTTCTCATTTAAATCAGATTCAACTTGCACAAACCGTCCATCTTTACGGTTTGTCTGTTGATAATATCTCTTTAGGGAGACTTGAGGTCTCTCAACCTTACTTAGTTGAGTGTGTCCCACAACCAAGCACCATGCCTAGAAGTCCGGCGTTATGTATTATAATGATCCTGGACCTAAGTGGCAAGTAGCTCTATATTTAAAAAAACAAAAATTAAACCTTTACGGTTTAATTGACACTCCAGTTAACCCGCCATATACCAGGCTGGTACCATTACCTCATTATAATGTGTTTACTCATTAACTGTTTAATTAACAGTATTTACACCTCACTTCCTGTTAAGCTCGCTTCACACAAGTACGAATTATACCACCAAGGTGCGTGTTCAACCTGACATCCCTATATCCCTCCTTAGGGTGCAAATTCTTCCCCTTTAATAAGGGCCCCTGAGGGGCCTGAGCGTGCTTAACAAATCACTGTGTGAATTGAGTTTCATTAGAACTCTCATAAGGGGTGACTCTTATAGAGATCACGTGACAGAGGACTGCACTCTTATAGAGGTCACGTGATACAGTGATACGGTCGGACTGCGGCTCTGTCGTGAGGGAGTCAGGAGTGTGCTCTCTGTTCAATGTAAACAAGATTAGATTAACAAATTACGAGGCCGGCACGTGTTTAACTGATTTAGTCGTACTTCTAACGTTGTGGGGGGTACAGTTAATTACAGTGAGAACCCTCCTATTAGAGACATGAGCGGTGAGGTGCATGCCCAGAGGGGCACTGTCGCAGTCGTTGCTGTCACGTGCTTTTTAAAGAGTCCACGTGCGAAGCTAGCTTACTAGCGAGGGTGGACAATGGTCGTAGGAATACAATGGTGGAATATTTCAAATTCTCGAGAACGGGGTTCTTTGTTGGTTTGGCGGTAAGTGTTCAGGGGGAGCGAGATTTGTCTGTTTTGGTAGTGATCGAGGTGAACTTTTCGTATATTTTTAGCCAGATTAAACGAGAGTCGAGAATACACGTGTTAACGAGAGTCGAGAATACACGTGCAGTAATGGACAGTTGCGGATATTCAGTAATTCAGATTGGTGGATTATGAATTGTAATTGAATATCGCTGGTTGAATATATGATTGTTTCATGATATAAATAATGCTATAAATGATGATATAAACAAAATGTCACCGCTTGGGCGAATCAAAACGCAATATAATTAGCTGTACATTGTTGGTTTTTAAGTAACTTACTTAAAAACCAACAATGTAACTTAATACGTAAGTATATGAGACTGATAATGAAGGAATGTCCCAACTACTGTAGCTTTAATTGGTATCCTTCCATGATGACAGTTTTTTCAAATTAATATTTGATATATAAAAGTTACTTGTTAGTTAGTTATTAATGGTCATCAAAAACTTGCTGCTAAGGCGGGGTTGCTTTGCCCCGCGTGTATAACAAACTTCGTAAGTAACATATAAGGTGTAACAAGTAACATGTGAGCTGTAAGGTGTATTGTCAACCCACGTTACTCTTCAAATAAAGCTCTTAACATCAATCTGTAAGCAGGCTTTTGTGACCCCGCTATCTCGCTCCCATCACGAGCTACTAGAACCTCCAAAAAGGAAAGAAAAAAAAGAGAAAAGGGGACTCATTAACGTTGAGCTTGAAAATCTATTTTAAAATGTGCTGTAGGTCCCATAAGTGGTTCATTTTAGATCTTTGTCTCCGTGTTTTAACTCGATTGTTGCCGGGCAAAGCTCATTGAAAGGATTCAGCGTCGTCCCTTTCTCTGCTTTTCTCTCGGCTCTTCAAACTTTCAAATAAGTCTTGAAAAACGTTCAATCCCGAGAAGTATTCTGAGGGCTATTGTGTTTTGAGAAGCTGTTTGAGAAGTTCTCTTGCCTGCAAATCTGTGGTTTCTTTTATTTTATCTTACAAGTAGTTTCACTGTGGTGTTCAGCGAGGAAAAGTGAAATTTGGAGTGAAAGTGAAAGTTGTAGTCTTGTGCGATGCAGCGACCATCACATCTCTCGGATTGGCTTTGGTATGTTCTTTGATCTGCGACCTGGAGGATATGATAAAGGAATTACAATCTGTTAAAAATTTAAATAGTTGCTTTCATTGCCTCACTTTTACTGACAAATCTACTGAAATTGGATGAGCATTTATCAAGACATGCTCTTTGCAAGCAACATTAACCCCACACTTAGCATCTAATGGGGGGTTAAGGTAGTGTGAACCCTTAGGGTGCATCAAGTCACTCTAACACCCGACTACATTCTACATTCTACTCGACTTGATCACCCTCTGTTCACGGGCTATTTATCCTACTGTGTGAATGAGGACTGTTGTTTGAGTGCCCCGAAATAAATTGATGTGACCGTCCAAAGTTGCAGTTTAGCAGTAATGAGTCCCGAGATGAGTTAGGTCCTGCGACTGTTCAGCTAAATATTTCTGTCAGCATTTAGAAATAATTCAAATCATTTTCGAGAAAATTGCCCATGAAACTCAACGATTTATTTTTAAAATCAAATAATTAGTTAACAACAAATTTGTTGATTAAAATTGTGGTTAACCAAATTTTAAAACAATTTAAATTAAACCAGATTAAAAACTCGTGTAAAACTTCGTCCAAAACCATCGGTATATGAAACTTATCATCAATCAAAATTAAAATCCACATGGTTGAACTTCTTTCCAAATAGATTTCTCTTCCAATTTGTTGATACAATTTGGAGATATGCCAAAACGAATTAAGTCCTAAGAGGACCATCGTATTCCCAATAACTATTAACATTGCAGCAACAAAAATATTTGTCAATTATAGTTTCTGTTAACATTCATTAGCAATGAAAAGTGATAGTTTCTGTTTCAGGTGCAACGCTTGTCTTCAAAGATTTGAGAGTCCTGGGCAGTTGAACGAGCATGTAATGACTTGCAGCCCTCTTCACAACAAGGTTCGTGAAGTTTCACTTTCTATTTCACTGTAATCCACTTCACACCATTCCACCATATCCAACTTTGTTTTATCTTTAGTTGAATGTGTAAGTTCTCGACTTCGTGAGCTTTATCACTTCGGGAAGAATAATCGCAAGGAGGGACCGTAAGTGTAGGGAGTGGCAGGCCGGTTCCCAACATCTGGCAAACCTTGTTTACCTTACAAGACATTTTTGTGGCGGACCAATTTGCGACGACCGAAATTTTGGCGGTCCGAAAATATGGCGAAATTGAACAAAAACCGTCACGTTTCGGACGTCACAGAAAATAAGGGTATTTTTTATCATTTTGTTTTCTGACACAAAGGAAATTCAAAATTTTCTAAAAATCGGTAAAATCATGTTGAAACAAAATGAAACTTATAAATCGATTTCTTCATTTTCCTCTAAGGGGTCCGGCTCGACTCTTTCAGTTTCACTTATTGAGTTTGGTATTAAATTGTTTATCTTGACTTAGTCTCTTATAAGACGTTTATGTTAGCACATAAATGTAATTTATTGTAAATTTAAAACGTATTACTTGCCATTAAATTCATCATGGAATATTGTGTTTATTTGTCCCACCATCATATCACTAACTTTTCAAAAACAAAATGAATCGATGAAGCCACAATTATTGGAATAAGCTAAAAATAATGCAACGGATTCTATTACGACGACCGAAATATTGGCGGTCCGAAAATATGGCGAAATTTCGGGAAAACCGTCGCATTTCGTACGTTATAAAAATGTCTTGTAAGGTATATCTTCTCTCGTATCGCTTAAATCTGAAATGGATGAAATTTTGAACCTTTTTTATTGTAACTTTCCTGTCACGTGACTGTCATTAACCAATCAGTTTCCAGCACAGAAAAATTAAATCCCAAATTTGTTGTCACGTGACTCACCTCCTCTTATCAGGTGCCTCCCAAGAGGATGAAGATCAGACCAGCACAGAACCCTCGTATATTTAAATGTGAACGACTGGATTGTGGCATGAGGTTTGGTTTTATATTTTTAATCACATTAATGACAAATAATTAGTTATTATGATATTTACAAGTTTTTATCAAAATATTAAGCGATATATAACTGTGAAATAAAAGAACATTTCAATTTTTGTGAACAGATCAGGTGATATTTGTTCTAATCAAGTACACTTCAGATTCACTAGATGGACCAACCTAAAAAGACACATGCTTACCCATACCGGTGAAAAACCCTACCCGTGCAAAGTGGAGGGTTGTGGCAAGAGATTCAGTCAACTTGGTAAGTAGTTTAGTTACTTAGTAGTTTAGTTACTTGGTAGTTTAGTTACTTGGTAGTTCAGTTACTTAGTAGTTTAGTTACTTGGTAGTTTAGTTACTTGGTAGTTTAGTTACTTAGTAGTTTAGTTACTTAGTAGTTTAGTTACTTAGTAGTTTAGTTACTTGGTAGTTTAGTTACTTGGTAGTTTAGTTACTTAGTAGTTCAGTTACTTAGTAGTTTAGTTACTTGGTAGTTTAGTTACTCGGTAGTTTAGTTACTTAGTAGTTTAGTTACTTAGTAACTCAATGGTTTGGTTACTTGGTAATATGGTAATTTGGTAACTTTGTAATTCTGTAACCTGGCAACTCAATGTCTAATAAAATTAAAACAGCATGCATGAGTAACTGACTAACCATTACCCGGGTAACCAAGCAACAGTGACACCATCATAATAGTAACAATCAGTAACCACTAATCATTATCAGTGACCACCATGGTAACTAAGTAACCATCACCCAGGTAACCTGCACACGCACATGTACACGCACACTGGAGAACGACCCTACCAATGTACGAAATGTCCTAAAGCCTACAACCAGTCCACTGCACTCAAGCGACACATGAGGTATTTATTTGCAAATCTATCAGTTTATTGTTAACTTTTTATTTTGATACTAATTTTCCAGAGTTTGTCACAAGAATCAATGCCTCCAGCCGTTTCTCTTTGTTTTTTACTTCCAGTTGTATGTCCAGTCTTATTATTCCAGTGAAGCTGAATAACACCTAGATCTGTAATACTTAAGAGTTCCAGTACGGCACGTTATAACACAAGATTAGTTGCCATGGTAACGGTCAGTACTTGACATGTCGTCTACTCTCGCTCGCACGTGCCCTAATAAATAAGGATCAAATGTTGACGTGATGACAAAGCAGCGGGACATGCCCCCAGGGTGACTACTCACAGACCAAGTCAATATTGTCCATGTGCGTTTCTCTGGCAACCCACGTGACAACTCCCTGCAGCCACGTGACCTGACAGCTGCCATCTCATTGGCTGCGCTGTTCATTTTATTAAAGTGCTTGAGATTTGCTTTGTGGGACGTGAGCAAAACTCAATCCAATTGGCTAGATCTGGTATTGTGAGGGATCAGGGCCCCTTGTTCTGCTGCTGCCTGATTCTTTATACGAATTTCAATGTCGCCACGCGCTCCCTCATTATAACCCTTTATTGACAGGTTGAGAGCGGGAGGGATTGTATTTGTAAGAGTTACCCATCAGGAGGGGTGAGGGGTGTAATGAACCACCAACTCAATAATATGGAGTTCATTAGAGCGTAGCCATTGGGCGTCGCTGATCAGAGTCTTTGAGTAGTATAGAGCCAGGAGTGCTGGTTAGCACTACTTAAGTGGCTTTGGCAACAATGATCTGAGTATTGTGTTTATTGAGATTCCGCGACACCGCCTATATTAAGGGTTGATGGTTTCTCTGAAATAGTAATGAAGTCTGCTTTAAAAAGACACTTCCATCAATGATATCTACAGGAGCAGCAATGTTATCAAGGGGACACTTCTGGTCGTATCATTGGAATTAAGGCAGTGATAAACGTGTAATCATACTATTTAGTGTATGGGATTAACTGTATACTACTTTTCGCTGACCAACTGTACGTTTCAGGTGCCACACGGGCGAGAAACCGTTTACATGTCCCCAGTGCAAGAAGAGCTTTTCTAACTCTACTCACCTAACTACACACATGAGGACACACACGGGGGAGCGACCTTATCAGGTAGGGATTTGGATTGGGTTGTGACGTCATACTTCAAGTTGTGACGTCATACTTCAAGTTGTGACGTCATACTTCAAGTTGTGACGTCATACCTGCTGTTAACTAATTAACTAATCAATCACGAATCAGTGCGTCTAATTAACGAATAAATTAACTAATTAACCAATAAATTAACTAATTAATTTTCTCAGTGTGACTACTGCAGCAAAAAGTTCTCTCAACACTCCTCTCTCTACATGCACATGCGTTGCCACGTCTCTCTCCCTCACACTATGACGTCATCACAGCAACGTATGACGTCATCACAGCAGCTCATGACGTCACCTGTCACTTCTACCAAGAATAATAATGTGAAGGAGGGTTCCCCCCTGAACTGTGTCCAGTGTTTCCTCCCTTTTAACGATATAGGTTAGTGTCTATAGCTTGGATAATTTTCAGTGGTTCTAGATTGTTTGAGGTGTTTTGCATTTACTGAAAAGTAAATTCATCCTCTCTGAAGCGTTTTTGAAAGTTTCAGTTTTACGCCATTACTTATTATATTCAAATCTGTGACCAGTTAAATAATTTCAGGATCTCTGGAACACCACATGGTCTCGGCGCATTCTGAAAGAACTGATAACAATATCACAGTCCGTCTAGCTCGACCCTACAACCCATACCTCCCACCTTTCGACCGTGCCATGACCTCAACACCACGTGACGTCATCACAACACCACGTGACGTCATCACAACACCACGTGACGTCATAACAACACCACGTAGTATGACAGACATGAGAGGACCTATCTGTTACAGCAAGAGCCCGGGCAGACCAGCATTTCCAACAGATAACAGCTTGAGCTACCCTTGTTCCAGATCAAACGTCATTGTCTCTCCGATAGCAATGTACCCAGCGGCCCTTAAAAGACGAAGTGCAGTTATACACCACGTGACGTCCCCTCACCACGTGACCTCCCCGCATCACGTGACCTCACCCCAGAACTTTTACACTAGTCCTACGTTGGAAGGACACACTGTAGTGAGTGATGAAACTGCACCAGAAAGATCGAGGAAGCCCTCTTCGGATCTGTCTCCAGAACACAAACAATATCTGGCTCTCTCCAGTCTACTGATATTCTCTAATTTAGTGGCTACCACCACAGCTGCGATGCGCTTTAATGTTGCCTGAATTTAAGCAACACTGCGCTTTGATCGGTTAGTTTGTGTCATGTGACTAGAAGACTGCTTCTTGATTGGTTAGATTGTGAACTGAAATACTGTCTTTTGATTGGTTACCTAAAATTTGTTTTGCCGAATTTGCCTTGTGTGGCCTTACTAAGAACCGGTCAGTCATCATTTTGGTCTATTTGGTAGTTTTTGTCTACTTGATTTAATGATCGGTCACTCCTACGACGCGTATCCTTACCCCTTAATATGTCCAATCATTGAGATTAGAGGCATTGTAACCATTGGACTGGCATTGTAATGTGGACCAGCATTGTAACTTAATTTAATGTTAGTGTTAGTTAATTAGCTTATTATAAAATCTATAATTAGTTTAGTGGATCTACTAAATTAAAAGATAAAGTCTAATTGCTAAATTTTTCAAGTAGTTAATTTAAGGTTGTGTCATAACTAATCGTGGATATGACCCGAAATTATTTATTTATTTAGAGTAAATGAGTTTATCAACCGTAGAAATCAATGTTTTTTTCTTCTTGATACTATGATTGATGAATCCATTAATTTGTAAGCCATAGTTTGGCATTTGGATATGAAACATTTTTAATTAAACATCTTTAATTCGAACCAATGACTAGAATTTGTGTTTGGTTTCCGTTTTTTCAGTGTTGTCAGACATATCAATTATTATAAATGATGTGTTGAAAATGCTAATTTGTGTTGAGATGATATCTGAAAATATTTAGATTAAATTATTTGATGATGTTTACATTAATATTTATTTATCATTTATGACAATATTTTGGATGAATTAATTTGTTTTATTTTGCGGTCCCGTACTTGTAGTTATAATACTGTAGACTGTAGTACGTGATCCCCTGTATGTTGTACGACGTACGTGATCCCCTGTACTGTATGTAGTACGTGATCCTCATTAATACGTGATCCTCTGTAGTAAGTACATACATGAAGAGGTCTCCTCCTAGTCGTTGGAGTGGCCTGCATCACACACATGTCTTCTACGGTGTATCATGTGCCTCAATTCCACTCGTTTTAGAGCTAACTGTTTTACTGCATCTCTGCTGATGTTATCGACAACTGTAAAGTCAGCCGCATCCTCAAGTACACAGGCCATCCAGCCTTTGCAGGGTCGTCCTCTCAGTCTCTTTCCATAGTTTGGTTTCCAATCCAGTAGAAAATTGGGAAACCGTGTCTCTGGCATTCTGACAACGTGTCCGTGCCACCTTAGTCTAGCCGAACCGATGAAAGTTTCAATAGACTTAATTCCAGCACGCCTGATCGAGAACTTCTTCATTGGAGACATGGAAGAACCACTTTATCTCCAAGATTCTTCTCAGGGAGGTCAGATGGAATACCTCGAACCGTTTCATCTGCTTCTTTGTAAGTGGTCCTCTGTAAGTGGTCCTCTGTAATAGCTGTACGTGATCCTTTGTAGTACGTAGTCCCTTGACTTTGAGTACATGGTCCTTTGTTATAGTATGTAGTATGAGATATGTAGTATGACTGTATGTAGTATGTAGTATGTAGTATGTAGTATGTAGTATGTAGTATGTAGTATGTAGTATGTAGTATGTAGTATGTAGTATGTAGTATGTAGTATGTAGTATGTAGTATGTAGTATGTAGTATGTAGTATGTAGTATGTAGTATGTAGTATGTAGTATGTAGTATGTAGTATGTAGTATGTAGTATGTAGTATGTAGTATGTAGTATGTAGTATGTAGTATGTAGTATGTAGTATGTAGTATGTAGTATGTAGTATGTAGTATGTAGTATGTAGTATGTAGTATGTAGTATGTAGTATGTAGTATGTAGTATGTAGTATGTAGTATGTAGTATGTAGTATGTAGTATGTAGTATGTAGTATGTAGTATGTAGTATGTAGTATGTAGTATGTAGTATGTAGTATGTAGTATGTAGTATGTAGTATGTAGTATGTAGTATGTAGTATGTAGTATGTAGTATGTAGTATGTAGTATGTAGTATGTAGTATGTAGTATGTAGTATGTAGTATGTAGTATGTAGTATGTAGTATGTAGTATGTAGTATGTAGTATGTAGTATGTAGTATGTAGTATGTAGTATGTAGTATGAAGTATGTAGTATGTAGTATGTAGTATGTAGTATGTAGTATGTGGTATGTAGTATGTGGTATGTAGTATGTGGTATGTAGTATGTAGTATGTAGTATGTAGTATGTAGTATGTAGTATGTAGTATGTAGTATGTAGTATGTAGTATGTAGTATGTAGTATGTAGTATGTAGTATGTAGTATGTAGTATGTAGTATGTAGTATGTAGTATGCAGTATGTAGTATGCAGTATGCAGTATGCAGTATGCAGTATGTAGTATGCAGTATGTAGTATGCAGTATGCAGTATGTAGTATGCAGTATGTAGTATGTAGTATGTAGTATGTAGTATGTAGTATGTAGTATGTAGTATGTAGTATGTAGTATGTAGTATGTAGTATGTAGTATGTAGTATGTAGTATGTAGTATGTAGTATGTAGTATGTAGTATGTAGTATGTAGTATGTAGTATGTAGTATGTAGTATGTAGTATGTAGTATGTAGTATGTAGTATGTAGCCGAGGGGGAGGGAGTTCCCAATTAATGATTACGCTATAGCGCTAGTATGTAACAGTAATGTGTAATTTTGACACAATTTCTATGTGTAGAACTGATAACGGAGGGCCGGCCGGGGGTTAAATTGTTAAAAAAGTGATTACTTGACATACGTTGCATGCCACTTTTCGCGCGCGAAGCGCGCGCCGCCGAAGTTGAAGTGATTACTTATTCAGCTTGCTAGTCTATTGCTCGCTTTTCAGTATTCTAACGTACAATGTAAAAAGCTCGAAAAGAGTGCCGTGTATTCATGCATTGGGACTGGCGCGCATGCCAGGTAAACTTAAAGGATTTGCAAATACATAACAGTTTGTTGCAGTTTATTTCGCAATCAACATTTGAATGTCAATATGAGAAGTAACGGATTTTGCAGATACAAGATATTTTTAAGTTTTTATTGCCGGAGACCCCAGAAAATATACTTGTATATTATATTTATAAACATAAATGATAAATATTCTGTATAGTAAGTGGATCGAATGACATATGTATAATGCAATGCAAACATAACAGGCTGAGCTGAGCGCGGCCATGAGTTAAATAATAAATGTTAAACATTTTTATACCTAACGCATAACGACCCCCGCGTTTAGTTAATTGCATTGTGCGTTGCCGAATAATATAAAATTAAATATTCGCAGCTGTCATTCCCAATATTTTCAAAAACTTAAAGCCTCCAAAAAGCTTGAAGTCCCGAAATAAACTCGTTACAATTTTTTTGAGGTACCGGGCCGCACACTTTTTTTGAAGTTTTACTTTTATAAAAGCAAAATTATTCAATATTCGACGCAAATTGCTGCGAAATTGCGCGCACCGAAACAATCCATTACCAATAATGTTAATAGACAATTACTGTGTTTTTGAATTTATTTAGAAATATTTACAATAATAATAGTATAAACTAATAATTTGCGTCAATTGCAATATTATTTTGCTGTATGTCGACTTATCAATTGTGCAAATATTTTCAAATTGTAGCTTTAGCTTTGACCATTGATAATAGTTTGTCCCGGCGCGCGCTACTTCGTAGCACTTGCCATCGGGCCAACATTTTGAAAAGAAAGCGGCGCGGCGCGCGCTACTTCGAAGAAATTTAGACGAGTAACATCAGTCAAATTTAGCTTTGCATTACATTACCTGGGGACCTCAGGCTATCATGTTCATAAATAGAGATTAGGCGGAATGACAGGCTGAGCGCGGCCCAGTAATGCATTACAAAGCAAAATTTATAAATTTTGTTAAATCGTTAGAAGCAACGCTTTACTGGGCCGCGCTCAGCCTGTCATTCCGCCTAATCTCTATTATCATCATTAAAGCCTGGGGTCCTCAGGTAAGCAAAGCTAGGCGCGGCGCAAGGTATACATATTATTTAAAATCTATATATACCTATATCTATATATACCAAATCTATATATACCAATATCTTATATATATACCAATATACCAATATTTATATATACCAATACGCGAAACGCACGAAGCGACAACGTTTTTAAATTTTTACTAAACCCGCTGCCCGATCGCTTCCACGCAAAAAATATAACGTTTGTAAAATGTAATCCTAACTATCTCTACTATAATTCAGAGAATTGTTTTTGTATGTATGTACGTTTTTTTAGGATGGTGTGTTGCTGTGACGGGCACGCATGGGAGTAACTATTACGACCAGAACGTCTGACGTTTTTTCGGTTTTTTCACGGTGGCATCTCTCCACTTCGCCACATGGAATGTTAGAGGCATTAGTCAGGAACACTCGCAGCATCTAGCTGCAAATGATTGCAACAGATACAACTTGGATGTTATAGCCCTCCAAGAAACTAAGGTGTCTAAACACTCAGACACTGTTATACCCGGCATACCACAGGCTTCTTTTTTTAACCAGAAGTTGTCTTGGCATGGCGGACTCGGTTTTATTATCAACAGTAAATTTGTATCAAATGTTGTCTCGTACCATCAAATCAGTGACAGAGTAGCATACATGGACCTTTCTCTACCATCAAAGTGTCATGGGAAACCATCACTGAAAGCCCGTATTATAAACTGCTACAGTCCAACTAATGTCAAATCTATACAGAACCCACGCATTGCTGATGAGTTTTACTGTGAGCTCCAGGAAGCTATCAGAATTCCTGCCAGACATGAACTTTTCATCTTGGGTGATTTTAATGCTAGGCTAGGGAAACGGACTAAATCAGATTTTGAAAGTGGTCTTCAAACTAACATGGGAAGACATGGTATTGGTCGGCGTAACGAAAATGGCGAAAGATTGCTAGCTTTCATGATCACTAATGGACTCTATGCAGCCAACACTGCATATTTCTGTTGTCAAGGAGAAACATTGGGAGTTTAGTAAAATGGGGATAGACATGTCATCAGCCTTCGACACAATACATCGGTCAACTATCCTCAGGCTACTCGAAGATGCAGGATGCTCAGAAGATGACATAAGACTAGTTAGATATCTACTCGCTAACACCAAGCTCAGAATTAAGATCAAAAAGACGACATCGGGAGAGTTCGAAGTCACAATAGGAGCCTTTCAAGGTGACTGTTTGTCTGGCTCGCTGTTTACCATGTACCTAGCTGGAGCACTCTACCACCTTAGAGTTGTTGTTATACATCTACGCCCAAATCCCCCCATATCTGAAAGCTCCCTTCCTTTAGAATGGGAATATGCTGATGATGTGGACTTTGCTGATGAAGATGAGGATTCGTTACACCAGCTCCTTCCAATTTGCAAGGAAATTCTCTCAGAATGGAATTTGTTTGTAAATGAATCTAAAACCGAGTTTGTAAAGTGTTATCTGGCTGGAAGTAGTGAGAAGGAAGAAAAAGGAGAACCTCTAAGAAATAGAGAACCTTGGAGGAAGTGTGTGTCCCTAGGCTCTAAGCTATGTAGTAAAGAAGACATACAGCATCGTATAATCCTTGGAAATGTTGCATTCGAAAAATACAAGAAAGTTTGGATGCAAGGATCTAAGATTAATCTGAAGACCAAGATTAAGATATACAAAGCATACGTTACATCTGTTATGCTCTATAACTGCAATAGCTGGGCTACCCCTCAGAACCTATTTGACAAACTTGATGCATGTCATAGAAGACACCTGCGTCAAATATTGAAGATGACTTATCCCATTATTATCAGTAATAAAGCCATATATGAACGCTGTGGTGTAACACCGTTGTCAGAGCGAGTGACATATGCTCGCTGGAAAATGCTGGGACATGTCCTTCGCAGTGACTGCTCATCACCAGCTCAGAGAGCTCTTCAATTTGCTGTTAATGCGTTATTTACCATGAAAGGACGTGTTGGTCGACACCAAAGTAATCTTTTAAAGTTTATTATAAATGATTTGAATAAAAGAAACCTACCATTGCGTGATATTAATGATCTTTATGATCTTAGGGCTACTGCCTCTAACAGAGTTTTGTGGAGAAAATTATTTACCTCATAATTAACCTTTATTTTTCAGAGAACTGTTATGTTTTTTTGGGCACTTATCAGTCTCTTAAGATGTTTCTTTACTATTTCGAGATTGTTTTAAAAGTTAGATAATGTATGTACGACCGCCCACGTGCAAATTAGATGAAAAATAGGAATTTAGGTAACAATTTAGGTATTTTTGGAATGTTTCGAATGAAGTTTTAGGGAAAATTGAAGGACCCAGTTATTTAAGCAATAAGGAGACACATAATGAATATCTTTGGTTTCATCCTTTTGTGGCAAAGAAGCGTTTTATAAATCTTTATTCCACTGGGAAGTATTAATGAATTATTTATAGATAATGTATTAGATTTTATTAATTAATAAAATTGAATTTGATAAATTATTAATGTTGATGGAAAATATATTTATTTAAATTATTTTTTATTTAGTGCAATGATATTTTGTAGACACTTGTGATGATGTTATGTCATAATCTTTACTTACTTACTTTAACCAAAAGGTTCCATAGCAACGGTGTTTTAATGCACACATGCACGTGCAAAGATTGTTTTAACGTCATTTTGATCGGTTTTGTGGTAATTACGTTGTGTTTAAAGTGTTTTATATTTAAATCGGCTGTATCTTCGGTTGAGATGGATATTTTTTGATGCGATTAAAACTCTCTTTCAAAGAATACTACTAGCTTCGTCCCTGTTACCACGGGTTTTCTAGTAATTTTATAAAATTAAATTATTAAACTTTTTGTCGAGAACAGAATTTATAAACATTTTACAAAAATCTTAAAAATATTAGTATATACAGTATAATATGGTTTAGATAGATTTTAAATAATGTGTAATACATCTTAGTTATAGTATTATATAGATCATTCATGAATTTTTTCAAAGATAAATAGTGAGAATTTCTCTTTTGACATTTCCGAAAAAGTTATAATATTTTATTTGAATGCTCTACCTGTCGATGTTTAAAACTTTAACAGTGCAAAAATTTTAAAGACAGAGCCAGAATATTTAAAAAAGAATTGAATCCTAAAGGGAATTTGCTATGATCGTCATTGGATAGCTCGTCTTCTGAGGGATGAGATTGAAGGATATAGATACGTCATCCAGTCCAAGGTGCTGGGCTTTTTGTCTTCCTCTGATTCCCTTGAGTGTGATTTTTGACCTGGATCTTAGCTTCTGTATTGTGGTTAGCTATCACCTCATAGATAGGATCTACTATATTAAATTGTTTAATTTATTGAAATCATAATAATTTGAATCATCGAGATATTTTTATAAACATTTTGATGATCTTATGTGTAGATCGTTATGTTTTCATTTGATTTTATTTACCCTTATGAAAGGATAATTACTATTGCCAAATCTATACGCATATATTTTTGAATTGTTTGGTGTTTCCAAATTGAGGGAAGTTTCATCGCAAAGTTTTGATTCAGTAGCCACTGTTTGAATATCGAAACTGCTTTATCACTCAACTGCTATCTAAGACCAAATTTGACGTGAACAGCACGTCCTTGTTAAAATCCTGTAAGACGTGCTGTGATAAAACGCTGTGATGAAACGCTACTTGGCTACAACAACTTCCATTGTCAAGGATGGAAGACAATTGCTTGTAAAATGCCCCACCAACCACAGCCTAAGGCTCTGTACAACTGAGTACATCCTCGAGCTCTGCTAGCATGAGACAAGAGATAGCCAACTCTCTTTCTCTATGAGGAACCACACGTCAATGAGTTTGCAGCCTAATTAAAACACAAGTTACAGAAACCTGACTCACTCAAACGCCTCTTGATAAAAACTACCAGACAGTATACCACCCATCATCAATGCAACAGACCATCATGTGACAATATGACTAGAAAGAAATCTGAATTTATCTTATGGCATCCTTACAAATTAGAAAGTAACTGGGTTATCTTTGTACAATTAATGTGATTCTCGGAACAGTGCTTAACAATGTTATTTTATTTTTGTTGACTGTTTTTGCACTACAATGCTTACAAACTCTGGTTATTTTCTATTTTTAAATCTTATCTTTTATCGTTTGGTTACTTTCCCTAAACATCCATTATCAAGGACAAGTGATAATTTTTATTTTGAACAGCTGTTAATAATGGATAGTGATTTTGCGGCTGGAGAAGACACTGCCTTTGTGAATGACGAGATAAGTAGCATCATCAAAGAAGCAATTGGTAAGGGCTCTTAAAAAACCATTATTTTTCTTTCAGTTTCAGTACATTGAATTAGCAGTTTTTCAGCCAGTCAAAAATTTATCATGAAACCATGTAAAGTAACTTTGGAAATATAACATTGTAACAAACCCACAATAGCTAAAATATTCTTTAACGGAAAAGCCATGAATCAAAAAAGTCTAGAATTTCTAAAGTTCACCCTAGTAGACAGCACATCACATTCATGGCACGTTAAATTATAAGTTTGCTTTAAACATTTCAATATTTCAGAAGCAACAATTGGTGGTAACACGTACCAACACAACAAAGTCAACCAATGGACTAGTAACGTTGTAGAACAATGTTTGAACCAGCTGACCAAACTCAGCAAACCTTTCAAGTACATTGTCAACTGTGTCATCATGCAGAAGAATGGAGCAGGTTTGATAAAATTTTATCCTTTTAAATTTAACTCAACTTTCCTCAATTCTCTGAAACCGGCCTAATCCTGTGGGTACGGATGAGATGTCAAAAACAATCACCTGACTGCTGACATGACACACTCACCCACCACCCACAATTAGCATTTCTTACCGTTCTCCGATGGTAAAATGAAAAACAGTTAAAAGTTTTGCAGCTGTTTCCAAATTAGTCCCACCCCACTTCCAGTTAACTACTTTAAACTGAAAATTAATAAAAGTTTTGATTTTTCTGCAGGTTTGCACATGGCAAACTCTTGCTACTGGGACAATGCAACTGATGGGAGCTGTACTGTACGATGGGAGAACAAGACTATGTACTGTATCGTCAGCATTTTCGGACTGGCTATTTAGAAAGATCTCTAGAAAGATCTGGAAGTGTCTCGGAGGAAATGGAATCATCTGGAACTATTTAGTTCAACTAAGAAGACGTCAAGAGTTCTCTTCAAAGAATGATTAAGGCTGTAGAATTTTTGAGTACAAATTATTAATATCATCATAACGTTGGACGTGGTCTTGCTAAATTGTGAAATTTGATTAAAAGTCTTACCCAAATAGCGAACCATTTGTCGACTTCAACAACCTAATCTCTCATATAACAGTTTAACTACTACAGTTAGTATACTAACTGCTCCTTTGGTATAAAACTGCAACTAAAAATAACTGAGGTCCTATATATTATGCTCTCACATGCTGGGAGTTGTTGTATCATAAGTCGTGATAGATAGATCACGTTTGCTGATTAATGATTCACATACTGTTGGATAACTTTCCTTACCTCACCCTTGTGGAGCCAATGCCTTGATTAATTGTATTTACTAATATATGTAGTACTAGTATAGTACTAGTATTATAGTAGTAACTTTAACATTATTTTTGGTGGTTTAGATGTAGTTACCTTGACATTATTTTTGGTGGTTAAGATTGATCAGGAACTTTCACTTGCTGTCCCGTTACCCCATTTGTCTTAATGACTAAACAGTATTAACTATTACTATTAAGGTATGTTAAGAGGGTTTTGGGAGTTTTAAGCAAATCATTGACATCATGTGCATGTCGTTTTCAAGTTTTGTATTATATTTGTAAATAAGTCAGTTAGTAAAAAGTTTTAATGATGCCATTGTTTTAGTTAAAAGACAATGAAACTAGAGATGGGTAGCTAGAATATTTGACCATTATCTAATATATGAAGCATGTTCATTTAACTATAAAAGTAGTAAACTAGTCTAGAGTTTGTCGACCTGGTTAAATGATATTTTTGGGGCTCTTAAAGGATTGTAACCGCCTGCACGGCGCCCTGTTAGCTCTTTAACTGATTTTAAGAGTTTAACCGTTTGGGATGGGCCGTGTCTTTATATATTTTCAAGACTTTATGCTAACGGATTGCTTTTTAATCTACGTTATTATACTCTATTTTCAGTCCACAACGATCGCTTTTTTGTAACACTGATATGATTTAATTTAAAGTTCTTAAATTAATACTACTTTTAGTACTTTTAACAGTATGTTCAGTGTTCACTCGTTGCTCTATAATATGTTAAGTGCTACTGAATAAGTATTACTGTACTATATTCACCCTGTTTAGTTTTTAATAAATTGCCACCCGCCAAAAATGTAAAACAAATCATTACTGTACCCTTTATAATGACAAATTGACAAATTTATAACTAGATGCAATTTTTTCACAAAATTTAGTTATGATTATTTCCCCCAAACATATTAAGAACATTGTCAACATTTTGTATAGTCCACTTAATTAATCTTAATTATGTGTTTCACTGCAATTAATTAGAGGAACGTATCATATACGTATAATATACAATATTATTGTGGAAACTCTAATGAAATGTGTTAACACATGAATGAGGAAATTGTTTCAATTATATTTTAAATCATGAAGTTGCAGCACGACATGATAGAGAATTAAAAATGAATTTGAACTTTAAATCAAGTTCAATATTTCTCTAATTAACACGCACATTACTCTAATTGATTAACTACTTTGTAGACAGAAATCCAATGTAAGATACATAGCGTAATTAATTTCATCAATTAACTAATTAACTCAGGTAGAAATGTAAGATGTAGTGTATGGGGTCCTCGTAGTGTGATGCTGCAGGATGCTGATGAAGAAGAGGAAGCTAGTATCATGGAGAGTGAGGATGAGGGTAGTTACGAGCATGTCCAGGTAATTAATTAATTAATTTTAATTAATTAATCACGTACAGGAACAGTGTTTAATTAGTTGTAATTAGTAATTGTGTGTTATCATGTACACGAACAATGTGTAATTAAGCAACATGTAATTCCGGTTCCTCACATTGAAATAATCACACGATTACCTACAGCGCATCGAATAATCGCGAACACGATCACGTATAATTAAGATTTTGATATAATCAGGTTTAAGCCTAATCTATCCATGCATAATTAACATTGTAATCTCACGACCACTTTTAACATTTCTAAGTAAAGCAGGGAGGGGCCCTAGATTAGGCGGTAACATGATATAGGCTGTTGTGTTATACATGAATGTTCAGTGTACATTGTAGTACCTGTTTTGTGTACTATAATACGATTACATTGAGTTCAACCTGAGCTTAGGTTACTGACGGCTTTATTTTATACCGGCAGTTATTGCAGTTGTTGCACTCGGCTTCGCCTCACATGAAATGGATTACTTACAATTTTATACAGTCTTAATTACAGTCTTAATTAAATAAAATATCATTGTTCTATAATACCAGAATTTATGATAATTTATAATGTTTCTTAGATTAAACTAGAATAGCTGAGGGAATTAACCTGGGAACTAATTAATTAACTAATTAATTAATTAACCTGGGACTTGTCTTAGAATCCAGTAGAAGAAGAAAAGAAACAAGAGAGGAGAGGGCCTGCAATAAAGGGGATACTAAAGAGAAATGTTGCTACCGAGGGGGAGACCGGGAGGAATGTTACCTTCAGAACAGTGTTAGCAGATTACGTGGAGCCTGTACCTGTTAATGTTATTGATGGTATGTAATATCCGCATAGGGACATTATTTATTAGTCTAATTGTTGTAATGGTTCTGGGGTAAAATTTTTTGGGTTTCCGTTTTTTAATAAACGGGAAACACTACAAACATTATTGATTTTAGGTCAGCTGATTATTGGTTTGAATCTTCAATTTACTATCTAGGTTTTTACATTTTGTAGGTATTTGTTAAGAAACAACCGATAATTAACAAAAAATTACAATCCGTGTTAGCCTATTAAAGTATTTAGTACTTTACTGTTGTTTAGATCTTACAATTATTGTTTTGTTCGATTACCGCACAAATAGAAGTGATCACCAGCAATTACAACACTGCTCTCACACCGTCAGGGCGGTAATTGGCTAATTATAAAATTATGTAATCAATTAATTCAAAACTTGATTCAATGTAACAAGTTTCTTCACCAGATGAAGAGTATGCTAACGTCCTGGACTCCTACAAACAACTTTGCGCCAAACTCAGGGTCAGACCTTGTCAGAAGCTAGTGGATCAGTTGGAGGGACTGCGGGATAGTACCCTAAAACTTGATACTATCGATCTCAAAGGTAAGGAGGGACTGCGGGATAGTACCCTAAAACTTGATACTATCGATCTCAAAGGTAAGGAAAGTGCGAGACAGTCTCCGCTTGACTACCGTTCCACGGTTAACTTTAAAATAACTACAGTTACAGCTAAACCAGGTCAACCAGTCTTCAATGACCCAAGATAGCCATCTTTCTCATAAAGTTGTTATTTAAATAACCCAGGCTTTGTTAACTCTGCTGTATATGACTTGATTTCATTTTTTAATCGCTGCACAAACAGACTCATAAGCGGTATTAATTAAGACATATCATCTAACAGTGTTTATATCTTTTAGTTTTAAGTTTCACTCATATGAACGATATATTTTCAAGTATTTGATAGCAGTCCTAACTTTTATCATGATAGTTTCTGGGATGACTAGATTAAACACTGCTGAGTATAAGTTTATCTTAATAGTGGTGTTCTTAAACTTCAATTTATTATTATTATCTTCAGGAACCAGACTTGACCCCGCGCACTGTGAAGCGCTGGAGGCAGTCCTAAGAGTGCTACGAGCTCAGACCCTCAACATTGAACAGACACAGCTTGATGATGACGTAAGTGTTCCGATAGATTTGTTAACTCGATTTTCAGCTTTTCAGCTCAATAAATTTACACACAGTACTCCCAAGCGCTAAACTTTGACCGGTTATAAATTCGGCTAGAAATAATATTTATCCATAGGACCAAAAAGAGAATTTTCATCATGAAGAAATTGAATACCAATAAAACTTCATTAGTAGTATTAGCCAATAATTAGCTGTAAAACTTAAACTACAATATATAACTCTATAAAAACCATCACAACTTAATTAATCGCTAAATAACCAATGAAAACCCGCGAAACGCCCTCTCAAGTCTCAATAACCAATGAAAACCCGCGAAACGCCCTCTCAAGTCTCAATAACCAATGAAAACCCGCGAAACGCCCTCTCAAGTCTCAACCATGATTAAAATGACTGTCCTCTAGTTCCCAGCTACTTTACCTCCTGCACACCAGTATCCTGACTGTACAGCAGTTGAGAAGGACTTTATAGGTATCCAGTTACAAATATTCAACATTATGCAAATATGTGACCTGCAAATATTGCAATGTTACCATGGTTTGAGGGACTGTATGTATGTGCTCATACCAAGCACTAGTATAATTGGGGTATTTTGGGGTACTTTAGGGAATGCCTTAGTGGATTTTGGAAATCCTCCATAATAGGAGAGGGTTAAATGTTAAATACACGGTACTACTATTCTGCGTAAGTCGTAGTGGGGTACTATAATAGTGCACTGATTTTTAGTTTTACTGTAGTTTAGTGGCCTCCAGTGTAGCTAGAATTTAGATAGCCCACTATTACCAGTGTTACCAGTTTTATATTACGGTGACTTGCGTGTCTAAGTATAATAATTGTATGATTATTTCCCTAATCTTAAATTTGATCCTTCGAACAGCTGTTGAGCAATGAAACGCAAACATAATCTTAGCAAAATGAATATATTTCTTTTATCTTCAGCATTTAATCAGTCACATAATCTCAAATTATTTGTTATATAGTAGTGTTGAAAGTATTAAAACTTTATTTCCCTAATATAGGAATCATACCCTGATCATCCCTCGAGCTCTATTCTTTGGAATCATGCAATTAAATTTAAATATCAATAGGTATTGTGGCTAAGTTTCATATAACAAATTAAATCGATCGTAATATGACTTTGTTTGATAGGACAAAGAGGTTGGCACCAACTTAAATTTCGTGTGAATTATGGTGGATGTATGGAATAAGATATCTATTCTATCAGAAACCAAGCTTTTGTTTTTCATAATATAAATCTGACCAACCTTACAATTTATTCTTATAAATTACAGTCGACATATTTCTGATCGTGGGATTTTCCATTCCGACGGAGCACCATCAAAGAGATGTATAACTTCACAGTTAACACTTCACAGTGAAACAAAACAGAGCATATTTGCTGTGTAGTACTACTCAAATGTTTCACTCGTATCCATGGCAGGATATGACAGAAAATTAAATTGCTGAAGTAAATGAGGCTGAATATTTGCAATGTATGACTGTTTACTACTTTATTACTATTATTATTTACTACTATGTTACTATGCTCAAATTATAATTGACATATCTTATGAGAGTATAAAACACATTTGAATTTGAGGAATTAATTGTTTTTTGGACAACGGAATAAATAACTCATAACTCATGATATATAATCAATGATAATAAGATGTGTAGAAACTGATACTTTTCAATTGACATACTTTTCAACTGTGCCAGTATAACATAGCTATAATGTTTATTATTTGTATTGAATACACACGTACAGTGTAATATATTTGTTATAACACCAGCCAATGTTGCTAATTAATAAAAGTTTGGCTCCTCACTATTTAATTGGAGCAGCAATTACCGCGTATTAATTTCCCATGATAACATGTTGTTATATCTGAATCTAGCTTACCGTGTCACAGGTAAAGATTCGGCGTATTCGTAAGGGGAAATATTAGGGGCTTCGTAGCAGAGCATAAGGGATTCTCGTAAATAGTCTAGAAATAGTCTAGAAAAAGTCTAGAAAAAGTCTCAACAATCTATCTCTTCTTAACTTTACCAGTCTTCCGTGTAGCTACTTGATTTTTGTCAACATGGATTCGTTTCTAGTAATAACATTTTCAGCAGACAAACATTGCCTTATTTGGTATTATTATCAAATTTCAACATTTTAGATGTGAAAAGATAAAAATAAAAATAACATTCTTGCCCTCCGCCCGACCCTGAGCTGGCTATGATGTATATAATTATGGACCAACTATATATAATATATTTTATATATAAAATAAAAAACTAAAATATAACTCCCCTCATGAGAAGCGTGCTATAAATTGATCCAGTTGTTTAAGTCAAATTGACCTAGTATGTCAGATATGTACATCATTAGTATCATGTAGATAAAAATAACGATTTAAGATAATAGATATTATCATGTACAGTGTACACGAAACTGACAAACTATGTTAGTTATAAATAGTGTAAGATCTTTTTCCATTTAGTTAAAATGTTCTGACTTCATTGATTTACCCGAGCATGAATTGTCAGCCCTGATATTTATGTCAATTTGCAGGTTATTTGGATTAAACATACTAAACTTACCTATATATGTTTAATCTTAATTAAACTTAAATCTATTATTACGATCATGTTAGTGAAACTAGAATAACTAAAATAACTAAAATAATTAAAATAACTAAAACAACTTAAATAACTTAAATAACTCAAATAGCTAAAATAACTTGCCACCCAGGGTGCTATCTCAGTGTTTGAGATGATAGAGTACTACGAGCCTGTTACGAGACTCATAGTAGCCAATAATGTTAGATTAGGAGTACGTGCCTGGCTCGCCCTCGCAAGACTCCTCAAACGGGTAATTATTAAGTTATTTGTCTGTTTGTGCGTTATTTCAGTCTGTCCAGACCCTCCTACTTTTCTTCATTTAAAGCAACGCATCAAATATTTACTCCGTCTTTCATTTTCACTTTGTTTTTCAGTTTCTCTTTTAAAAATTTCACTTTCTCTTTTTAAAGTTTCACTTTTTCTTTTAACAGTTTCACTTTCTCTTTTAACAGTTTCACTTTCTCTTTCAGTTTCACTTTCTCTTTTAACAGTTTCACTTTCTCTTTCAGTTTCACTTTCTCTTTTAACAGTTTCACTTTCTCTTTTAACGGTTTCACTTTCTCTTTTAACAGTTTCACTTTCTCTTTCAGTTTCACTTTCTCTTTCAGTTTCACTTTCTCTTTCAGTTTCACTTTCTCTTTCAGTTTCACCGGTTGGAGTACCTAGACGTGAGAAGAACATCACTTGACGAGAGTACAATGCCGCTACTGTGCCGAGTACTAAAGTTGAACTGTACTCTCCGTGTACTCCATCTCGAGGATAACCATCTCAGTGGTATTCTCACCAGGAATCTAGGTATACATTCCTACAATCTTCAAATAACAATCACATTCTTCAACTCCTGATTATTGTGTTATTTGTTGGGCTATGGGAGCACTGGAAATTACCCACTTTTCTCGTTCCTACCAGCACTTAACTACAACATTGCCCCTCCGTTCTCATCTCAGAAGCCAATTAAAATTGACGCTGTTGTGGCCATTGTTGCTAGATAATGGGGTTCACTAAGGAGGTTTATCTGTTTGGGCCATGTTATGATTTGGTGGTACATTATACTATTGTGATGACAATTTTGTGGCGCTGATTACAGGAGGGCGTTAAAGCGTATTATTGGTTTTTGTTTAGAGAGTCGCTCATAATGGGGATCATAAGATTGGGCGAAATGTTACGTATACAAATTAGCAAGTAATTAGTAAAAGTTCAGATGTCGCTGTCGGACAGGAGTCGTGTTATAATATCATAATAACCCTTGGTACGGAGCTGTAGATACAGGATTCAAATTATGTTTATAATGCAAATTCATTTATGTTTTAGGTACTACTTATGCCCCAAAACGTACAATGCTTTAAATCTAAAAATAGTAATTCAAATGTAGACTAAATAAAGTCTAAATTGGTTACAGATGTTTTACTTTCTCTATTTATGTCCCAAAAATGTAGACTCAAGTGATGGCTAATTTCTAACTTTATCTATATTTATGTTAGGTATAGGATTCAACTCCATATTTAGTTAAAACAACACCTGGGGCCCAGGTCGATTATAATATCAGGTAACAGTATCATTTCAGTACGTGCCTGTTTTTAAAAGCGATTCAAATGTAGACCCTAAAAAGGGGAACTCAACTACTACTGCACTCATGATAACCCCAGTTGAAAAATTTAGTTGACATCCATTACAGGGACAAAAGGATTTCGCGATTATTTTGGCCAAAAATCGCGATACCGCGAAATTTAACAGGCTATACATTAAACTACACATAAAATTTGTCGCAAATAATGGGAAAAATCGCGATTCCGTACATGCCGCGATTTCCTTTTGTCCCTGATCCATTAGGGTTGCACCACTAGGCCAAATAACCTAAAATTTCTTATCGGTTACAATAACCTAACACGCTAACATGCTAACAGAAACATTATAACATGCCAACATGCTAACAGTAACATGCTAACATGCTAACAGTAACATGCTAACAGTACCATGCTAACAGTAACATGCTAACAGTAACATGCTAACACGTTAACATGCTAACATTCTAAAATGCTAACATGCTAACAGTAACATGCTAACACGTTAACATGCTAACATGCTAACATGCTAACACGCTAACATTCTAAAATGCTAACATGCTAACAGTAACATGCTAACACGTTAACATGCTAACATGCTAACACGCTAACATTCTAACATGCTAACATGCTAACAGTAACATTTCAGTTTGGGGTCTGCGCACGAACACCTTACTACAGGACTTGTATCTGGGACACAACAAGTTGACACCCGAGGACGCTAAGTTGCTTGGTTCTCTGCTGATTACTAATAGGACTATACGGTTACTGGATCTTCGTAACAACAGATTACAGGTGATTACTAGTTCACTGTGATTATGTAATTAGGGGAAGGGGTCATTATGATCAGGCAATTGATTAGTTTTTAATCCAGTTGTTTACTTTGAAAGAATGTCTGGTGTAAGCTGTGCTCTGTGGATATTGGGTCACAGTGGAGGACTACCAGTCAAAAGTTCCCTCTCTCTCTCTCTCTCTCTCTCTCAGTCAAACGTTCGTTCCCTCTCTTTTAGTCAAAAGTTCCCTCTCTCTCTCTCTCTCTCAGTCAAAAGTTCGCTCCCTCTCTCTCTCTCAGTCAAAAGTTCGCTCCCTCTCTCTCAGTCAAAAGTTCCCTCTCTCTCTCTCTCTCTCAGTCAAAAGTTCGCTCCCTCTCTCTCAGTCAAAAGTTCCCTCTCTCTCTCTCTCTCAGTCAAAAGTTCCCTCTCTCTCGTTTAATATTACATATTATAAAACAGGGTGTATGAAAAGTCTTGCAAGGATGTACTTTTTTAAATGACTTTTTATCCACTTGTTTAAATTTCATTCTGTAAAAAGTTACTGGTAGTTCTAAGATTTAATGGCAACCTCTGAATTTTGTACGTTACTATACCGTGACCACTGGCCACCACAATCTGTCTGCTAGCAACCGACGTAAATTTGGGTAACATTTCTCTCTTATCGACCAAATGAAAGACCAATACCATATTCTGTAGTTTTTAGTTACTATCGCACCAATCATATGTTCCAAGATTTGACAATGAAACATCTTTTGAACACAATGGGACTGGTGCAGTGGTGAGTGGTGCAGTGGTGAGTGGTGCAGGAACACAATGGATTTAATAAGATCATCATTGCTCCAAATATCAAGCCCTAAAAAACCAACACATTTGTGAATTACTATATTATGCTTTATATATGAGATTTGTAGTGATGTGATCTAGATATTAGATGGCGTGCAATAGATATTTACGGAAGTTTAAATTTATTAAAGGAAAATTATTCGGCTACAGGTTTGCTGTTCCTGTAAGGCTGGTTTCTTCTTAGCAGAGAAGTTTATTATAGTAGTCCTTCCACTGAGTTGAGATTGAGGAGATATTGCTGGACGATTAAGCTGGATGAATAAGCTGTAGCTGTTTATCCATCGAAATGTGGTTCCGGTTTTGATGATTTAACTTTTAAGTTCGATCTGAGAAGTTACACCTAGTGTTTTCCTTAACTCGTCAAGCCACACATTGTTTAACCTTTAAAAGAAGCGAACATACCTGATACGAATAATTAAATTGAGTTATGTTACATACGCTTACATAGACTCTATTTTGAAGTAGGACCACTGAACTCTGGGCTACCATGTGTACTTCGATTTCTTTCCTGGACCTATGTGGCAAGATTGTTTCCTAAACCAAAACCAAAAGCAAACTGAACAGTCTGACCACAGTCTGGCTTGTTACACTGCTCTTTTATTTTGTCTTCGAAAGTTAACATGTTACAATGTTACATGAAGTAAACACGTCAATATTATATAGTATATATACTATACCAGATTTAAATTTAATGAGATAATTTTAATTATGACGAGCTTTCGCTGACGTTTAGTTGTTTTCATGATCACCCATTAACTAGTAAATTAGATATAATAATACATTTCACTTCATGTATCATCGAGAGTAAAAGTACCAATTATTGGTAATACTTTAAAATCAGGCTTACACAAAAGTCAAAACATGTACATATTTGTCCGGAATGTAGAGCTGTATATTACACAAAATTGTGGCACTGTGCAAGGTATGTACATAATATATATCATTTCACCTGTGGTCATGTGTTCTGACTTCATCATTCTACAAATTTTGATTCGTTAGATTTGTCAAAAATGGCGATGACCGCCAACCCCCCCCCCCCCCCCCCCCCCCCCCCCCCGTAATAACTATATTGTTACAATGCCTATTTTATTTATTATCCCGCATATCACATCATTTTGTATTATTGCATTGTATTGTATACTTATATTTTATTCATATGTTCACATGATATTATTTCACGAGATGTCCTGACAATACACATGCGTGTTAAAATACTCTTTTGTGTGTAATACAATATTTAATACATGAAAATTCTAATATAATACTACAATAGTAATACATAATAAAATAGTACTATAATATAATCACTATAATGATACTACAAAACTTATACTATACTACTACAATACTACTATAATACTAATATAATACTACAATATACATACTGAAATAATACTATAATACTACAATACTTATACTATACTACTAAAATACTACTATAATACCTACCCTTTATCCTCAAGTAATGGCTATGAATATTATAACTCATAACACAGTAATACTATCAGTATTTAACACTACTCACATATCATTATGTTAGACCATCTTGATGACAATATGTACTCAAAACTTGACTGATATTCACTATTCAGTAACTAATTAAAATATAATGTAACATTTATTATTGAGTTCTAGTTGGGAACTTGACCGAGGGCACAGTTTGCTCTGAGAAATTACGAAAATCTGAAAATTACCAAGAAGTGTAACTGGACTCTTTTCAATCGGACATTTCAGAGAATTTTGATGTTATAATATGTTGTGCGTGCTACACAAATATTTTTTTCTAGAAATTTGACACGTCTTGGTCCACGGTCCACCATCGTGCAGTTATACAAAGACGTTGTATTTGAATACATATTTGTAATATTTAAGTACATATCGTAAATATTTGTAAACTATTTGAGCAGATCTAACTATTTATCTTGAAACTATCTGTACACATTAATTGCAGTATTAAATGTGCGTCAAAAGCTCATGTATTTACGAGGTGTCAGCTGAGAATTTAGTTGTCTTGTTCAAAATGTCTAGATCATTGCCAGGATAAAATGGCACCTCTTACCTCTTACCTCTTACCTCTTACCTCTTACCTCTTACCTCTCACCACTTACCTCTTACCACTTACCTCTTACCACTTACCTCTTACCTCTTACCTCTTACTATACCTCTTACTTCTTACCTCTTACATCTTACCTCTTACCTCTTACCTCTTACCTCTTACCTCTTACCTCTTACCTCTTACTATACCTCTTACCTCTTACATCTTACATCTTACCTCTTACCTCTTACCCCTTACCTCTTACCTCTTACCTCTGTATCATAAACTATTTTACCTGTTTGATATGCGTAAAAGTGAGAAGAAAATGTAATTGTCAGTAATAATAAGAGGCCATCTTCATTCTTCATGTGTTAAAACAGTACAAAATAACACAAGTTTGGCAGTGACGTCACAGAACAATCTGAGATCTATTTTACCTGTTTGTCTATCAAAACATCAAAATATTTGATGTTTAGGAAATAATTAGCAGTAATAATTAGGGGCTCACTTCATGCGATGTAACAGACTAACAGTGTATACAGTGTATCCAGTGTATATACAGTGTATATACTGTATACAGTGTATCCAACTTGTATATACTGTATACAGTGTATACAGTGTACAGTGTATACAGTGTACAGTGTATCCAGTATATACAGTGAATACAGTGTACAGTGTATACAGTGTATACAGTGTATACCGTGTACAGTGTACAGTGTACAGTGTACAGTGTACAGTGTACAGACTAACAGTATATACCACATGTAAAAGAAGTATATCTGTATTTAAACACATAATAATATCTCATATGATGGGGAGCAGGTGTGTTGGTGTGCGGTTATATCAGTCACTACACTTCTCCACTAATAGAGAAGTGTAGTGACTGATATAATATATATTATAGATGTGGTTTCTGGTGCGGAGTATTATTTGACACGTGATAGTATTGAACCAATCAGCTTCCACTATTTACCGATCCAACCCTCTGTCACGTGCTGTTCACATATTACGTAATCAGCCGAGGGGAGAGGGGGGTTTCCAAATGATTACGCTAGTGTAATTTTGACACAATAGCTATGTGTAATCTGATAATGGAGGGGGGAGGGGGGTTACAAATTGTCCCAAAAGTGATTACGTAATATGTGAACGACCCCTAATATGTCTCTCCACCAAATTCCACATCTATTTTATATTCAGATCTCAATTTCTTGTAATTGGTGGTTACAGCTGCTTTATCATGTAAAGTTTGTTATTTAAACTGCAACTGATTCAACGAACCATTATTAAACTCACTTTTGAAGTTTTAATCGTTATAAATGATTGCTCGCAGCGATGTCTGATTAAGTTCATTAAAGCTGTTAGTACTTGCAATTATTGGATTCAGAAGAATACGAATACCCCTAATTGGGCCTGCTTGTGAACATCAAATATTTCTGGTATTTGACTGGTAGTTGGTACCACTTATTTTGATAACCTCCCTGGGCACCATTTTACCATGGAATTGCTAAATAGAAAAGCATGGCTTTCAGTTCTGGTATCCCCCTGCGGCCTAAGAATCCATAAGTTGATCACCTGTGCAGGTCACATGACTGATAGTGTATGCACGTGGGTATCTTACCAGAGACCTCCTCGCACTTGACGGTCACGTAAGGTAAGGTTTTTTTTTAAGGGTGCCAGCACCCTTGCCTCAAATTTTTTCATCGAAAAATTAAAATTGTCTGAAACGAAAAAAAAACAGATTTTCTTGGGGGGGGGGGGGGGGGGGGGGGGGTTAGGATTGAATTGACCATGGTTAATGAGGGTCTGTACATGCTCAAATAGTGGGCCTGTTGATAGCTTGGATGTGTTTTATTACAGTGTAGACTTACTTACATGGGTCTGTAAGGTCAAATAGTGGGCCTATTGTTATTAAGTGTGTGTCTACTCGCTTAATTGTGGGTCTTTGCTACTCTGAAATGGGTCTGTGGATTGACTTGTGGGTCTGTAACTCTGTAAGATGAAATAGTGGGTCTGTTGATATTGATAGTGGGTCTGTTGTTATCAACTGTGTGTCTACTCCCCCATGGTCGCCTGGTAACTGGGCTGTGTTTATGACTGCAGTCAGTCAAAGATTTGAACTGTGGATTAGTAAATATCTGTCATATCATCCAAGCAAACATTCTAGAAGACTTCTATAAATTGTCAATAGTGTCCCCTAGACCGTAGGAAATGTAAAAATCTTAAGACGATGAGGCCTGAGTAAGTCGTAAATTCTGATTGGAGAATGCAGATTGCTGTTGTGAAGTTACCAAATTTACGTGAGTACTTGATTCTTTTCAATCCCAGTTTATTGCTGTCCTACAAATTTCTTTAATGCCAAATGTCGTCTAAAACACCCTGTTTCGCAAAAATTTTCCGGGGGGCTCTGCCCCTGAGCCCCGCTGGGGGCTGCGCCCCCAGACCCCTGCCACAGCTTGCTCGCTGCGCAGCTGGATTGGACGCGTCGGCCCGCTTCGCTCGCCGACAGCCCCCCTCAAATAAAAATTCTGGCTACGTCCCTGACCTATACCTACATCTTTATACTGTAAGTATAAAGCCAGCCAAAATTTGGTGGTGAACTGTTACTGCGAGCGCAGCTCAGCCAGCGAGCCACATTCAAGTGGGTCTTTAACCCAAAAAAAGTCAGCACCATTGGGTGGGTCTGTGGCACCCAGAAAAAAAAACCTTAACGTAAGGGTATTACGAGGAGGTCACGTAAGGGTATCACGAGGAGGTCACGTGAGGGTTTCACGAGGAGGTCACGTAAGGGTATCACGTGGAGGTCATGTGAGGGTATCACGAGGAGGTCACGTGAGGGTATCACGAGGAGGTCACGTGAGGGTATCACGAGGAGGTCACGTGAGTGTATCACGAGGAGGTCACGTGTCAAGTCGAGCAGGACCGTTCTGCTGATTGGGAATATTGCCTGATATCAGCTGATCCCCATGGTAAGGGCTGTTGAACACTCAAACATGGTAACTTTGAAACTATCACACTAAACACTACATAACTGGTGTCTGGTAGTGAATTGATTAATTAACTTAACTTCAAATTGTGTCTCCATGCGAAGGTAATTCTGATTACTTAGATTCAACACTGCAGAGATATTAATTGTTGAGTATGTTTTGAGATCTACTATAACTGAAACTGGAGAGATTGCTAGTTATTTACAAGTCTCACAGTAAAAGGTGGCCAGAATTAACATAACGTTAACATGTCAGGCTCTCAGCATCTACTTCACAAGATGTGTCCGTTATTGTATGTTAATTATGGGCCACCTTGTACTTTTAGAGAGTTTGTTTTGTTTTTATTTTGACTCCATGTTGTCACTTGTCGTGGTAAATGGAGAAGAAAATAAAGTTAATCATAAGAAATATTTTTCATTTCATCGAATTAGAAGGAATTGAAAGGCAGGAATTGTTTGTATCTTCTGTGGTCACCGGTATTTGACCTAAAATATGGTAGCAAGCAATTTCTCCAGAACCCTAGAGAGGACCTACACCATGAATTTACACCAAACGTTCTATACCTTGCCTCTCAGTGCATCAAACCCTACTTATAGCGACATCACCAAACTACCCACACGCCACAGCACGAGATAAAGATAACCAATTTGATGATTGAAAAGTTACCGCACTTACACGCATTATCGGGACGATATACCAGCGACCTGCTTACAAATAATACAGGTCCGGTCCACCATCTACATATTTGTAATTCCTTATAAGGGATGATTGACCGTATATATTAGTTCGTTCATTATATATTATGTTGGGTGTCAATATGAATATATTATATGTTACACGAGTGTACACATCATCGTTGAGTTGTTGAAAGGGTGTTTGCAGGTACGGATTTGTTGAGAGTATGACGGTATTCTGAATTTATTATAGACATTTTGAGTGTCTGGGGAGATTGGTTTGGTGTTAGATTTTAGATCCATGTTTCTTAACATTTCCTGGTAAGTGTCGGTGTGAGTTGAACGTATTTTTAACAAGTCTGAATAAATTACGAGGATATGTAGTAAGTATGCATATGTGAATATTGTGTATTGGGAATAGTATGACGTCAAGAAATGTGAGTCACGTTTTGTCACTATCTTCGGTATTTCATCCTCAAAATTGCTACTCAACTACTGAAGAAGGTTTTATGAAACCACATATTTCAACAGACCACTTCGTGGCAGATTACGTCACGAAGAATGTATATATATAGCGGGGGCGGCGGGGCACGTACTTAATACTTACATCATGTATATCTTGTATTGATATTTATCTTGTATAAATAATTAGTTGTTGCTTGGTTCCTCAGAAAAGTGGTCAACTGACAAGCATTATAAGCATTATATTTCAAACAAGTGAAACATTTGGAATAGATCGGATTTAAACTCAAATAAATGTCCACCAAGTTGTGTTTTCCTCATTTGAATCTAAAACACCAACCCCCCTAATTTCTCTCATGTTTTATCATAAAAATGTACCAATCAAACGATGTATCATGTAAGCAATCAACAAATAACTGCACAACAATCACAACCAGTTAATTAATTACAACAAATAATTAATTAATTAATTATTTCTCAGGATACGGGTGTTTTATTCCTGTCATCTGCGCTTGAGGAGCAGGCGTCAGGGTTACAGTTGATAACGGTGTGGAGTAACCAGATAACAGCAAATAGCATGTCCGCTCTCGGTAGAGCTCTGGTATGTGTTCTAATTGGTTAATTGATAGTTAATTGATAGTTAATTTGCGTTTTAAGTTACTAAGTTAGCTTAACTTTGAGATCTTAAGAAGTTAGTTCAAACTCAAATAATACAATCTAAAACAACTCAAACGATAGCTCTCGATTTTCATAACCTAAAAAAGTTTAAGCCAACTCACACAGTGCTATCCTTAAAAAGCTTACACAATTTTGTAGATTTATATAAAAAATATAACAGCCATATTATAATAACAAAGTTACAACTACAGGCGTTCCACACCACATTGGAAGGAGTAAACCTGGGATCTAACGCTCTGGGTAACAAAGGAGTGGAATGTCTAAAAGAGGGCCTCCTCTCCAGTAGGTCCATCGCGCGGCTCGTCATGGCAAGTTGTAATATCACCAACGAGGGTGCTGTGGTAATGGCAGAGATTGTTGGGGATCATACCACTCTTATACACTTGGATCTAAGGGAGAATAACATCAGGTATATTATAGTTGTAGTGTGTTTGAAATCATTCGTTTATTTAAGTTTTATCTGATATTTTATTGAACTGATCACACTGGTTATAACTCGCAATGTAAGAGAGAGTATGTGCTGACCTTTATTTACTGGTAAAGTGATAAATAAATTTTAACTTAATTAATTAATTTAATTTATTTCCTCCCCTCAGTTTGGCTGGAGTAATGGCGCTAAAGTGCGCATACGCAATAAACCACAAGCTCCTCCGATTACACCTTGACGTCATGAAACGCTCCAACAATGACGATCTTATGCAGGAACTCCTCGCAGAAATCGAAGCGTTTTCTGTCCGCAATCTAGAAGCCCACAAAAACGCAGATCAATGTCCACTTTCACCGGAGGGTAATGAGATTGAGGGTGATTCTGGGATAAGTCGCTCAGAACAGGAGCAGGCAGACTATGAACTTGCAATGAAGCTCCAAAAAGAGGAGCGAGAGAAATGTAATAATAATAACCACAGCTCTAACAGTGTTACCAAACCTGAGGAGCGCCGTGCCCTGCCTATCATATCACCTCCTATGGCGCCTCCGCCTGACCCTACTAAAACATTTGGCTTCTTCTCAGGACATTACATTAAATTAAAACAGCGATGGGATGAGAGCATTGGAGTTTACATTAACAAAGGTGATATATCTCTGGCAGCATCGCCGGGTAACACTGAATCTTACAGCACCCAGCACAACAACGAGGAAGAGGACGACCAGTTTGTGGACGCGGTCGAGGAACAATCCGCTAGATCCTCCATTTCTTCTCTTGACAGTCCGACCTCTCCTACTTCCCCTGAATTTGATAGTCCTCCTGATACAGTTGATTTGTTATACGATGATAGCCCGCTCTCCGGCACTAGCCCTCCTCCACTAGGAAGTCCACTTCCTGGTGGCATATCCTTCTTTGATAGCCCACTCTCGGATATTACCTCCACAGAAAGCTCACAATCTGATCCTTTAATACCCGAAAACAGTCTGAACAGTGAAGATTATCTTAATCATCACGTAGCTTTGAAGCGTAATACTGTTAGTCACTCTCGTTACGAGTACAGCGATAGCTTATCCAATACTTCTTCTGAGTGTACAAATAACACTTCTGAGTGTTCAAATAACACTTCTGAGTGTACGAATAACACTTCTGAGTGTTCAAATAACACTTCTGAGTGTACGAATAACACTTCGTCCGAGTACACAAACACTTCGCCCGAGTACACAAACAGTTCGTCCGAGTACACTAACAGTTCTCCCGCTAACACCTCTACAGCTGACGAAACACCCGACTGCACCCCGTCACCAACAGAGTGCAGTAGCGATGTAACCAGTGCAGACGACCGCGCCATTTCCTCTACAGATTGCAGTAGCGACACCGCCAGCGAGGTCAACGATATCCCACCAGTTTATTACACTGGGCATTGATTAAACGGGTATAAAATCTGGTTAGAAATATTGTGATGTGTCGAAGTGATTTGTCCTTAAATGGGATGTGACGTCATGTGAGGTCATCATGTGATGTCACGTGGTGTGACGGGATGGCTGGCAGGGTTCCAGGAATCATAATGTAATGTTGTGTGGTGAAATAATAAACTGTGTGTACGTGTGTGGTTAAAGTTTGAATCACTGATTTTTGTGGTACAGTTTTAAGGAATGCTCGAATACTCAGGAATGCACGACATGTAATTCGTAACGTGAAGATTTTCTATTTGTTTCTAACGACATTAAAGCTAAATATTAGGCCGTTTCAGGAGAGAGTACATGTTTCAAAAGGGGCTCTTAAATTATTTAAAATTTCTAAAAATTGCCAAATTTGTTCATAATATTATATATATGATATATACATACAACGAAGTAAGAGCTAGATTTCATAAATCACAAAATTTGAAAGGTATCTGTATTAAAAGATTAAAGAACGACAACGCAGGACGTTGTTTCAGTTATATAATGATATGCGAATATATGATGATATGCGAATGTTTAATTTTGATTTTTATGATTGCATATTTTGCATATTTCACTAATAGTGGCTACGTGACAATAATAAAGACCTGTATAATGATGTTTATGTTTATGTATTACTAATGACGGTATCGTTCCGTTATTCATGATTGAGGTTCAGGAATTTTAGTCTATTTTATTTTGTTATCGTTTTTTTTCACGTTTTTAGATCTTCTAGTGTGCCCATTGAAAGCCTTTTTCCTCCCTAGAAAAAAACTTCTGCTTGTATAAGTACTGCTTGATCAACTAAAGCAAATAAATAACTTTCCTAGGACAACAATTTTAGAGGCATTGCTGTAAATTTATAAGGGTTGGGTAAAGGTGTTTTATCAAGAGACTGGGAAATTAATTTCCCTGTCCCAAATTCAAGTCTTATTGTAGTTAAGCAAGTCACGGAATCTTGCCAACAGTCCAAGAGTTGGACTTTCCGTTCCATTTGATCCGCGGGAAAATATTCGACGAAAGTATATTTTATTTTTAATTGTAGTTGACGAAGTGAGAGTCTCCACACACTGAGTGGAGACTCTCACTTCGTCAACTACAATTAAAAATAAATGATTGACCCACTCATAAGAGCAAAAAAAGATTACCAGAAAGTAGATTTTCCTCAAAATTGTAATATACAATTTTCCTCAAAGTTTGCAGATAATAAAATGGTTGTGAGGTGTAAGGGACATACTGTGTAATTTTTGATGAAATCTTATGTGCGAAATTTGATATATCACTTCAAACACAAGAAACTATCTCAAATTTGGCACATTCATCCAGAATTTCACAGTGTGTCCCTCCCATACTCATCTTACTATCTGGAAAGTTTGAATCATTTCATTTTTGTTTTGCAGAAAAAATAATTGTAAGTTTTTGCTCAAAACACTTCATTTTTGACCCTTAATTTGGGACAGATTGGTGAAAAGTCCTCCTGTGGTCCAAAATAATATTTGGTTTGCGTAATCCGCGGTACATTTGTAACGAGGAAAATACCACTCTTTTTGCGCACCGTTATGTATTATCCACGCGCGCGCGCAGCCTACTAGCCGGCCTAGCGCTAGTAGGCTAGCACGGCCCCTCACAGATCAGCTGTGACCAGAACTAGAAGGACAATAATTGAAACAAGAAAGGGAGGCCCGGGAGATCAGATCATATCACTAATTAGTGACGTATAATTAGTGATGTGATCCATCAGTAGGATTTAACTGACCTAGAAATGGGCTAGATACTGGGTAGAGTTCACATGTACATCATAGCAGTTCATTAAGAAGTAAACATGATCTTTAAGATTTGACCGCTCGACTCGTATATCACATAAGGGACGGGAGCTCTTGCTAAAGGGGGGTTCTCGTATCTAGGGATGTGAGACGTACGTGCCAAAGGCATGCAACGGGAGTGAGCCGATCAAGTGTTCTTAGGTATATATACGGGAAGATGATAGACAATAGTATCGCATTCTATCAACATGCCTACCTTCTCCAAATTCATCTCTGGTCGGACAGGATGTCAAAAGCTACTCGACTCTGATGGATACATCTACTCCCGGAAGAAGGACAAGGATTCAGCCCTCAAGTCTGCCTGGCGGTGCTGCAAGCACACTCCTCCTACGAAGTGTCCCTATTGGTGTTATCTCACCCTGTCAGACTCCTTACATTAAGTCAGAAAACTCACGAAGCAGACCTCGCAGCTTCTGAGCGAAGAGAAGTCCTAGTGTCCCTAAAACGGAAAGCTGCAGACCAACCTCTTTCGGCGACGCAGAACCTCATCTCCGAAGCCCTGGTAGAGACCTCTCCTGCAGTGAACCAGACTCTTCCCGACATCATGTCCTTGGCCAGAGTGATACAACGTTCCAGAGCTGTAGCATCAGGATCCTCCCAACACCAAGAGGCTACTACCTCAGAGGACTTTACCCTTCCTCCTACTTGTACCTCCACCAGAAGAGATGAACCCTTTGTCGCTACGAGCAGGAACACGGAGACTCTATCGGAGCACTCAAACTGGATCGCAGACGGCACTTTCTATGTATCACCGAAGATCTTTCCTCAGTCTTACACCATCCAATCAGTTGTAGACAACAAATGTGTTCCTTTGGTTTATATTTTAAGTGGTGACAAGAAAGGGGACACTTATGAATTTGTTTTAGATGTTATTAAGCACTATTTTGACCATTCCTGTAGACACTGGTACTATTTTAATAGATTTTGAGAAAGCAGTGATGAATGCTTTTTTGAAGAGTTTGCCAGGGTGGGATGTTAGCAATTGCTTCTTCCACCTCTGTCAAGCTTCTTCCACCTCTGTCAAGCTGTTCAAAAGAACATCCAGAAAAATTTTAAGAAGATTTATTTTGCAGATAAACTGTTTACCAGAGAATTGTTGTGTTTCTTGCTTTCGTTCCAGTGGCTGATGTTGAGGAAGTATTCTATGAAATAACGTACTATATACAGACAAACTTTCCTAAGCTAATGTCTATAGTTAATTATTTCGAGAAGACTTACCTTGGGTATTCAGTATTCAGTATTCAATAAATTTGATTAATTATCCTACGAAAAATGTGTATTGACTTGTTAATTTAAATCAAAAGTAAGGGGTAAAACTGGGCTAGATGTAGGGTAGAGTTCACATGTTCTGTTAATCGTAGTTGGTGGATCACATCACTAATTATACGTCACATCACTAATTATACGTCATATGATCTGACCCCTAATAATAGAGGGGGCCTGGACGTCGTGCAGCCGAGGGGTCTGGAAGTCGTGCAGCCATAAAAATAAGGGGCCACCTACTTAGGACGTCCGGCATATAAAAATATAAAGGGGGGGGGGGGGGGGGGGGGGGTATTTTGTAATTCAGGAAGGGGTGGTTTTGACGTCCAGAAATTCATTTACAATTTAATAGTAAAGCGAAAATTGGCAATTGCAACAATATTAAAAACTGATACAAATATATAGTATATTAACCCATTAGGGACGATAGGGTCGTTTTTATGACCCACCTTTTCTAGACGAAAAACCAAATTACTAAACGCTATAACGAATCTATAGCATATATGCTCAAAATTTATTGGGCTACATATAATGAAGCCCAATAAATTTTGAGCATATATGGACACGTTCATTGAAGTTTGAGGATATTGGTAAATATTAGTGACCCTACTAAATGGCACGATGATGTAAAATGTGTCACACTATAAAACTATATAAACCCTCAATGGTTAGGATAATCGTTTCATCCTCTAGATAAACTTTGTCGCATAACGATATCTTTATCAGACGATAAGATATCGCTTAAATGCGGCCGGCAGTGAGTTGTAAACTTTGTCACACTATAAAAATGTGACAGAGTTTATATGGACCCCTTGTTGCCGTGTTTGACCAAATTTTCGAATTTCAAATTTATAGGATAGTTGCATATGACTATTATCTACATATTTAGCGACTTTTTTCGTTAAATGGTAGCACCATGTAAACTCCGTCACACATTTAAGAAATTTATATGACGGATGTTTATGACATCCTGACAAGAAATGCCGAATAGTCTAGCATTATTTTGTGAGCTGAATGTGTTTGGAATTGTTCACATATTTCATTGTTATAGGCAAATACAAATACAAAAGGCAGAAATAGGTAAATTTAGTCACATAAATTTGTATGATATCTCAACATGTGTGAAATCGAGTAAATATTAGTATACCAACTTAAACACCCTATATTACGTACTATGGATCAATTAACAATATTTCAACCATACGCCGATCACATAAATTATTATATGGCAGTGATATGTTAACATTGGCAAAATTTCAACACCTGAACAGGGTAAAAATTTGTAAATTTCGTCACAAAAAAAATATTATAACTTTATTTGCTCCGTGTTAGCAAAATAACTAATTTATCGACATAGTGATGGTGATAAAGTAACATTATTATATACTAATTGAGGTATGATTCTTCAAAATAGGGGCAAGAAATGTAAATTTCGTCACAGCCATAGCATTAGTTAGATAGATTTTCTTTCATATCAACTGCCCTTATTATAGCTAGAATGGATTTATACAGGAAATATAGAAACCCATGCCCATTTTTCATCACATTGAAATTATACTGTTGGGGCAGGAAAAGTAAATTTCGTCACATTTCAGTAAATTAGTGATATCAAACTCAGCATTGTTAAACTTGGGTTTTGATTTGCTTAAAAAAAACCAACCAATAATTCCTGGAAGAAAATTGAATTTTAACTGAGGCATGGTTCTTTAAAATAGGGGCAAGAAATGTAAATTTCGTCACATACGTCATTTTAAAATTTAGATAGATTTTCTTTCATATCAATAGTCCTTATTATAGTTAGAATGGATTTATACAGGAAATATAGAAACCCATGCCCATTTTTCATCACATTGAAATTATACTGTTGGGGCAGGAAAAGTAAATTTCGTCACATTTCAGTAACTTAGTAAAATTAAACTCAGCATTGTTAAACTTGAGTTCTAATTTGCTGAACAATAACCAACCAATAATTCCTGGAAGAAAATTGAATTTTAACCGAGGTATGGTTCTTCAAAATAGGGGCAAGAAATGTAAATTTCGTCACATACGTCATTTTAAAATTTAGATAGATTTTCTTTCATATCAATAGTCCTTATTATAGTTAGAATGGATTTATACAGGAAATATAGAAACCCATGCCAATTTTTCATCACATTGAAATTATACTGTTGGGGCAGGAAAAGTAAATTTCGTCACATTTCAGTAACTTAGTAAAATTAAACTCAGCATTGTTAAACTTGAATTCTATTTTGCTAAACAATAACCAACCAATAATTCCTGAATTCTAACCGAGGTATGGTTCTTCAAAATAGGGTCAAGAAATGTAAATTTCGTCACATATGAGTACGTCATTGTAAAATTTAGATAGAATTTCTTTCACGCGAACAGTCCTAATTACAGTCCGAAATGATTAATACAGAGACACAGGAAATATAAAAACCCCGGCCCATTTTATAATGTATGTAATATGTTAATCACAGACTATTTCATTCTATAATCATTGTTTCCAAATTTAACCTATTTATGATGTCTTATCATTTCGTGACGATGTGTACATCAACTGCCCTATACTTGAATCAACTGTACCCGTGTATCGTCCTAATATAGAGTTTTCCCGCAAAATTTAACTTATTTACGATGCCGTATCATTTTGTGACGATGTTTACATAAACTGCCCTATACTTGAATCAACTGTATCCGTGTATCGTCCTTATATAGAGTTTTCCCGCAAAATGTAACCTATTTACGATGTCGTATCATTTTGTGACGATGTTTACAACAACTGCCCTATACTTGAATAAACTGTATCCGTGTATCGTCCTTATATAGATTTTCCCCGCAAAATGTAACCTATTTACGATGTCGTATCATTTTGTGACGATGTTTACATCAACTGCCCTATACTTGAATCAACTGTATCCGTGTATCGTCCTTATATAGAGTTTTCCCGCCTTCCAAACCAAAATCAGATATAAATGATTTCGGAAATTCACCCAGAATTTCAAATTCCATATAATGTGACAGAATTTACATCATTTCCCAATAACCAAGTGCATGTATTAGCTAACTTTTCAAAACAACATATTTTAGGGCTATGATTGGCAGAAGAACCATCAAATAATGAGTTGAAAGGGTTTTGAGGACACCTCACAGTAAAAAGAGGTCTCGTATTCTGAGTGTGACAAAGTTTACGAAATATTGCCTTAAAGCTGTTCGATCCGTGCCCTTTAACCAATGTTGTATCATAATTGTTAGATTGACCTAATCTACTATATTTCAGACCAAGGAATGATAATTGGGCAGCTATGGTAAACAATGTCACAAAAATGTGACATTTTTTACATTATAGTGCCTAAAAGCAATACATTTTATTTCTGAGCAGTGCATATGGGAGTATGGGTCACGTGGCTAATGTTCAGAACTTATGAACACGCTAGATTAATAGATGCTAAAATTAAGCCACTATCGTCGAAAACGCTATTTTAGAAATTTACCAATATCCTCAAACTTCAATGAACGTGTCCATATGCTATAGATTCGTTATAGCGTTTAGTAATTTGGTTTTTCGTCTAGAAAAGGTGGGTCATAAAAACGACCCTATCGTCCCTAATGGGTTAATAGTATACACTACCTGCATTTTTTATACCAAAGAATCTAATAAATTGTTTTCATTTCTATAATTAAAAGCTGCTGGAAAATCCGGACGTCCGGGACCGGAGGAGGCCGGAGGGTGTTTTGGAAATTCGGACTATAATAGGTGCTCACTTAGTTAACTAAATACTCAATGTAAGTAGCAAACCAAATAGCAGCGCATTGCAATACAACTATTTACCACTGCATGGCAGAACACCTAAAAATGCTTTCTCGGCTCGTCTAGCAGACAGGAAGAGTGACATAACAACTCAACGTCTACTAGTAGTAGTACTAATCACATTACGATTACGTGAAATAATATACTAAACCAATTCCTTTGAAAAATCATGTCACTGCACTTATTATTTTTGCGTTTGACATGGCGGCAATGTTTGGCTGCAATGCAGTCTCTTCTGAAATTTGCTTACCTACAAATTTGATTGATTCGGAATTTGTCATGATCGAGTATACGTTGATATTTGGACAGGGGTGTAGGAAGCGGGGGGGCAGGGGGGGGGCCATCGCCCCCCCATGAAATCTGGGCAAGGGGCCAAAAAGGGCCAACTTTTAAATTTAGGTTTCTACAAATTTTTGGGAAACAAAATTTTTTCCCCGAAAATTTATTTAGTCAAAAATTTTCTAAGTCAACATTTTTCAAAGTTTTTCTGAAAACTACTTTTGTTCATGTTTCATGCTACCCTGATCATTATGAGCCAAAAATATTTTTTTTGGTTTTCGAAGTTCGATGTATGATTTTGGACTCGAGGGTTCCCCTTTGTTATGCGATCTCGGAAGGCCAAGGCAGGCCTCCCCTTCGCAATACGAGCTCGGAAGCGGGAGCTCTGCTTTCAGAGGTACGTATCGAGAATGACTCGGACCGAAAATTTTCTAAGTCAAAATTTTTCAAAGTTTTTCTGGAAACTACTTTTGTTCATGTTTCATGCTACCCTGATCATTATGAGCCAAAAATATTTTTTTCGGTTTTCGAAGTTCGATATATGATTTTGTACTCGAGGGTTCCCCTTTGGCCTTTGTAATGCGATCTCGGAAGGCAGGCCTCCCCTTCGCAATACGAGCTCGGAAGCGGGAGCTCTGCTTTCAGAGGTACGTATCGAGAATGACTCGGACCGAAAATTTTCTAAGTCAAAATTTTTCAAAGTTTTTCTGGAAACTACTTTTGTTCATGTTTCATGCTACCCTGATCATTATGAGCCAAAAATATTTTTTTCGGTTTTCGAAGTTCGATATATGATTTTGTACTCGAGGGTTCCCCTTTGGCCTTTGTAATGCGATCTCGGAAGGCAAGCCTCCCCTTCGCAATACGAGCTCGGAAGCGGGAGCTCTGCTTTCAGAGGTACGTATCGAGAATGACTCGGACCGAAAATTTTCTAAGTCAAAGTTTTTCAAAGTTTTTCTGGAAATTACTTTACTTAGTTCATGTTTCATGCTACCTTGATCATTCTGAGCCGAAAATATATTTTTCTGTTTTCGGTTTTTTGAAGTCCGTGCCTACATTCGGAAGGTTGTGGATGCGATACTTATTGGTTTCATATACTAATTATAGAAAACGAGAATTTGGTCCGTAGATTTAAAGGAAAATGCGCAATTTGACGCGGAGAACTGAAAAAAATCGCGATTTGTCGTGAGGCCAGAATCTGAAAAATCGCGATTTGTCGCGGCAAACGTGAAAAATCGCGATACCGCACATGCTGCAATTTCCTTTTGCCCTTACCCTCGAAATTCAGGATTTGGCGCGAAGTGCCAAAAAATTTAGGGTGTGGCGCGAAGCGCCAAAAAATATTTTGAATTTGGCCCCCCCATGAAGAAAATCATTCCTACACCCCTGTATTTGGACGATCAAAATCAAACGGCAATAAATGTGATATTAGCCAAAAAAATATGGGATCAATTTGGTTTCAATTCATTTCAAATTTAAGCTATAACTTGATTAGGATATTCTTTCGGATTGAGTATAACGAATAGAAACTTAATTAATTCGGCAGCAATTATGTAAGGTATAACTATAAACTCTATTGTCAACATTTATGTTTCTGAAACCCTATAGACATAGTGCACCGATTTAGAATTGGTGGTTTTTTATAAATTTTCAATAATTAGCTCACCAATCAAAAATCAATGATTTTTATGAGTATTTTGATTTGCCGGCCCGCTCTAAATCGAGTCTACGGTCTTAAATACGTGTAGTAAAGTATAATTCAAAGTTTATAAATCGTTCGGCAGAACTTCATGGCATTCACTGCTGGATTAAACAAATCAGCAACCCCTGGACGGTCAACTTTTGTCTTGAACACTGTAAAAGTGTCCCGTGATCATCTAGATGAAAACAAGATCAGAGTGCGGGACTTTACACGGTCAGTGAATAATTGTCAGGTTGGTATTCATTATAGGGGAAGTTTCCTTTCTCAAGTAGTGTTATAATACCTTGGTGTCTGCACATACTGCTGCTTCTGCTGCGGGATACTTGATACTCCTCTATTAATACTTGTCGGAATTTTTGTGTTAGTTCGTCAGGTTGAGGTTTTTGGGCCAAAACCAACTGGTCAATATCCAACACTAGTTCGGAGTTACAAAGATAGATGTTCGTGAATTTCACAGGAAAATGTTCAGGTTCAACGTATCCGGGCGAGTGTTCCTAATCAGAACAGAAAACCTAAACATGTTTCCCGACACCCTTCTAGGATCCTCAGACAAGAACACGTTCTGGAGGGATGACCTCAACGCTTACTACTTTGATAGGAACAGAGAGTTCTTTGTATCTGTCCAACAGTTCTATCAGTTGAAAGGTATTTGAATGTTTTGTTTTGAGGAGGTAAAGTTTGACACTATAACCCCACCTCTAACCCTGGCACTAACCCAACAGGCAGTTATTAAACGTTAGTGATTTTATCCGTTAGGGATTCGGACTTCGGTCCGCTTACCTACAATAACAAGTTGATTCATGCTTAAGAGGAGTAGTATATCATCCAGACGATATTAATGTTAGGCTCTGTTAGTGTTATTGTCGCTTGGTTTGTCTCAATATTTAAGTGCGGCAATTCAGTAGTGTGGCATAACACGGTTAACGCACGGTTAAGGCACAGTTAAGGCACGGTTAAGGCACGGTTAAGGCACAAGGGTTACATAAGGCACGGTTCTTAAGCCTAAGGCACGGTTAACGCACGGTTAACGCACGGTTAAGGCACGGTTGGGGAAATATAACATATAAACATACAAGTGGTTAACTAAGGCACGGTTAAGGCTCGGCTAGGGAACAAGGGTTACATAAGGCACGGTTGAGACACGGTCACTTAAGGCACGGTTAACGCACGTGTTATGCCACACTACTGAATTGCCTTAAGTGCTACGCTATTACGAATTGATTTTATAGTTGTTCGCAACAATCAGTTATTGACAATAATCATGGTTTGGTTTATTAACTACCTAATAATGTGTCAGGTGTATTCAGATACCCATCCCATGCGATAGAAGATCCAGTAGTGATTAGAAGAGAATTAGAGTTTTACAGGTGTAGTGTGTCTTTCATATTTATTTCAACATTTCGCCTATATTAACTAGAATGTATATTTTAATATTCTGTATCACTGTGGTATGTTTTAACGATTACAGACGTGTTACATTTTTACATATTGTAACCACATCAAAATTTTTCATCACATAAAATGATTGTGAAGCACGTTGCAATTGAATGTTACTGCTTGCCATCGACATTCGACGCGTATCCTTATTTTTGTATCCTTATTTTCGTGATATAAAATAGCCGTATTTCCTTAGGTTGCCTGCTAACAGCAGTGATGGGTTTAGTCTTAAAGCGATAAAATCAGTAGATCCAAGTCAGCGAGAGAAGGTACCCGTACATATAAAATGGAACACAAAAAACCAAAACTACCATTTTAGTTTACAGGAGTATCGGGCCATGAAAAATCATAACCCTTTCTTACATTTGACAAAATATATTTCTGCGATCTAGATATAAAATTTCCTTGTGTTTCAGTTGTATAATTTGCTGAACTTTGCCAATTCGTCCTCCTCTGCGAATGTGTTAGCGTGGGTAGACTGTCTACTTATCGGCTTATCAGTCATCATGCTTATCATCGAATCAGGTACATGCTATATCTTTAAACCTCAGCAATGTGGATTATTTGAATAGTTATTATACGGCCAGACTTTTGACAAGGTATCATTTCTGCATTCTCATGTAGGTAATACCATAAAAAGAAGTCAGTAGTCGTTTCCATCACTTTTTTCTTCTATTTATTTCGCTTAGATGTGTATTCTTACTTAAATGAAAACTTGATTTTATTATGAATCGTAAACAGCATGATATGATGCCTAATTCTCAAGAAATAACATTAACCAGAACCGACCTACAAGAAATATTTCGCGGAGAATGGACAAGAAGCCCATAAGTTCGCGTTCGCAGCTAACTCTGTGATAATGGGTTACTTTACCTTCGACTACGTTTTGAGAATCATCGCTCATCCCTCGACTTTAGGGTATGTTTTGAGAGTCATCGCTCATCCCTCGACTTTAGGGTATGTTTTGATACTGGTAACTTTAGAGTATGTTTTGAGAGTCATCGCTCATCCCTCGACTTTAGGGTATGTTTTGAGAGTTATCGCTCATCCCTCGACTTTAGGGTATGTTTTGATACTGGTAACTTTAGAGTATGTTTTGAGAGTCATCGCTCATCCCTCGACTTTATGGTATGTTTTGAGAATCATCGCTCATCCCTCGACTTTAGGGTATGTTTTGAGAGTCATCACTCATCCCTCGACTTTATGGTATGTTTTGAGATCCATCGCTCATCCCTCGACTTTAGGGTATGTTTTGAGAGTCATCACTCATCCCTCGACTTTAGGGTATGTTTTGGAACTGGTGACATAAGAGTATGTTTTGAGAGTCATCGCTCATCCCTCGACTTTAGGGTTTGTTTTGAGAGTCATCGCTCATCCTCGAATTTGGATATGTTTTGGTACTGGTGACTTTAGGGTATGTTTTGATATATGGTACTGGTGAATTTGAAACGTAGATTAAATACGAAGATTAAATACGTAGATTAAATACAAAGATTTGTTTTTGTGGATATTGCAATGTTGAAAATGAAATCACAAAGGTGTCAAGTTTTCAAAATTGCGAAGACTTTCTTAAAAATTACAGTTCAGGGTAAGAAATATTTAACATTTTTCAGGTTCTTCAAATTATACCTACCTTGGTTTGACTTACTCTCGGTCATTCCCTTTTATTTGGAAATTGTTATGGTTGCCATGTCTAAGACGAACGTCGCATCGACTATAGAGCATCAAAGAAGTCATGAAAATTCCAGTGAATTATACACTGTCCTAAGAGTAAGTCAGTCACTAGTCATCCAGTGTGTAAGTCAATAAGTCAGTGAGTCAGTGAGTCAGTGAGTCAGTGAGTCAGTGAGTCAGTGAGTCAGTGAGCCAGTGAGTCAGTGAGTCAGTGAGCCAGTGAAATAGTAAGTCAGTGAGTCAGTAAGTCAGTGAGTCAGTGAGCCAGTGAGTTAGTTAGTCAGTGAGTCAGTGAGTCAGTGAGTCAGTGAGTCAGTGAGTCGGTGAGTCGGTGAGTCGGTGAGTAAGTGAGTCAGTGAGTCAGTGAGTAAGTGAGTCAGTGAGTCAGTGAGTCAGTGAGTCAGTGAGTCAGTGAGTCAGTGAGTCAGTGAGTCAGTGAGCCAGTGAGTCAGTGAGTCAGTGAGTTAGTAAGCCAGTGAGTCAGTGAGCCAGTGGGTCAGTGAGTCAGTGAGTCAGTGAGTCAGTAAGTCAGTGAGTCAGTGAGTCAGTGAGTCAGTGAGTCAGTGAGTCAGTGAGCCAGTGAGTCAGTGAGTCAGGGAGCCAGTGAGCCAGTGAGTCAGTGAGCCAGTGAGTCAGTGAGTTAGTAAGCCAGTGAGTCAGTGAGCCAGTGAGTCAGTGAGTTAGTAAGTCAGTGAGTCAGTGAGTCAGTGAGTTAGTAGGTCATAAACGTTGATGGTCAATTTTTCAACTTCAAACATGAATTCCTACAATTTTCGTGGAATCTTTCTAAAAACACAACAAGATATGCAGGATATTCCGAGTAACGCGAGTGTTTAAACTAGTAAGAAGATGTGAGGCCCTTCTAGTCCTGGTCAGAGCACTCTCCAGGACTACGAAAGAGTTGCTGTTACTCGCAGCAATGGTTTCTCTCTCGGCTCTGTTGCTTGGATCCGTCATGTACTACGTTGAATACAGTCATGTTAGTTCATTCTCAGCTTTTATCACGACTACAATTGTACTTGAAAAACATTTGAAATAAATATAAACTGCACAGGAAAACTTGATTATACATTTCATTCTTTAACAACAGTGTTGTTAAGCTTTTATGTTATACCTTCCCTGATAACTGTGTTGTTACAACACAGTTATCAGGGAAGGTATAATAAAAACTTAACGAAATGATACATTCAGGAAGTAGCAGAAGCTTGCAGTAGACAAGGTAGAGAGATGAGTATGAGATGTAAGTTCAATAGTATCCCCAACTCCTGCTGGTGGGCTGTTATCACTATCACTACTGTTGGGTACGGAGATATGGTACCTGAAACATTCCCTGGCAAGGTAGAGTTGTAAACTTTAAGTGGTTCTTATTATTGATATTGTGTATCATATTGATAGGTAGCTTAAAGGACCAGTTAACTGAAAAAAAAGTTATCCTCATATTTTGACAGATTGTGACAAATAGCAAACTAAGCAACGAGTCGAAATTCCTAAATCTCTAACTGCTCTCTAACGCGTGTAAATAGCGTTTGTATTATTTTGGCGATGACGTCATAAAGTCCCTTGCGCGCGCAGAAGAGCTCGTGAGACTGTATTTTACAGGTAGAAAATGGACATAATACAATGTTTTTCCCTGAATAACTCGAAAAGTAAGTAATTTAGGGTACATGTTGCTTCATAAGTTGTATATAAACATGGCCATTCTGCACAATTTGCACGCATTCAAAAACCTTTAGGGCCTTCATAGCCCAATTTACCAGATACCCATAGTTTTGCATGATTTCTGGAACCGAAAATCAGTTTTTCGCTAATAACTGAAAAAGTAAGCACTTTAAGGCATATGTTTGTTCGTAAGTCATATATTAATATGCTAATTGCGGTTCTTTTGCACCCTGTCTAAAGACTCTATCACGATCCTATCGAAAATGGGCTCAGCACCACGCCCAAAATGGTTTTTGGCGAATTTCTCGAAAAGTAAGGATTTTAGGCCATGTGTTGCTCAATAACTCCCATATAAACATGCATATGCGGCTTCGTTTAAGCCTATTTTGAAGTCTCTACGACCTTCAGAAGCAAGGGGTCGGTTACGTTATTGGGTCAATATGGGCGTGGCCCTCCTGGGTTTTCTCCACGGTCAAAAAAATGTCTCCAAACGAAAATCGTTTATTCATACCTTCGGGAAGGTCTGTGCAAAGTTTCGTGAGTATTTGAACATTTGCAGGTTCATTTCCATAAATGTCCATAAATGACTGGACTACACAACTTTAGAGTTAACTTTAGAGAAACTCATAAGTCATTTATCTCAAATCAAGCTGTTAGTGTCCATGATCAACCTGTGGCGACAATGTTTTACGTGAAATGTAAAAATCAGGAGTAATATAAAAAGTGTATTTTTAGATTAAAGTGCTAGCTCATAGTTTTAGAATTGTATAGATTAACGTTGGTCGTTTAGCCATCTAACAATCGATCGTGCCGTAATATACGGCCAGAGAATAATAGGGTCTTGGAAATTCTATAGTTTTTCAGAGGGTCGATTGACTGAACACGTTTGCACTTGGTATTTAAACTTACCAGTAGTTTATTTATGTTATGTACCGATGATAATGCAATTAGGATAACAACTAGGTAAGCCGTAAGTCTAATTCAAAACACACCGCACACCGTACACTCCAATCAGTATTATTATTTGGTAGACCCGAGACCGGGTATTTTGGCGGGAATTCTGTTCCCACGGCACTGTTCTGATAGAAGCTACTTCTACTAATGGTCCCAGAGGAACGGCCGTAAAGTAGCCAGACTTCTTGTCTCCTGTACTGGCTGACACATGTGGATAAAAGTTATAAATTTCGCTATGCTATAAATATAATTGCTCTCGGAATTGAACAAACTCCTACTTATCTAGATCCTTTCTAAATTCGTTAGAGTTTCATGGACTGGGGAAAAATAATCGGTACAGTCTCCCTAGCTGCTTGTGTAATTAAGCAATGAAAACAATCCAAAATTATCACATATGACATAAGTTGTAATAGCAGAAACTTTCTAAGCGTACATTCACCCGCCACTGTTCAAGAACCTATATCACTGTTTTAAATCATGACGTGAGCACTGTACATCCAATCAGCTATTCCTTTAGTTAGAATGATAGCCAAAACTATAAGGATTTTGGAGAACTAGGGTAATAGTCATAATTCTAAAATTTGAGTGAGTTACACGTGTTTTATTGACGATGATAAACATTTGTAATGTAAATTACGCTATGCAAGCGCGCACTGAGGGACTTTATGACGTCACGAGGCCACAGCTTATTATTGCAATAACACGCGTTACACGTACGCTAGAGAGTTGGTTCTTTCGGCGATACGATTCTTTACCAGTTTGTCACAGCTGATTTAAATCTTAGCCAAATTGGAGACTACAAATTTTTCAGTTAACTGGTCCTTTAAGTACACGCTCACAGCTGACAGCAATGTCCTCGTCTCACAAATACAACAAAGTTCACTGCTTCACTATTTCACTATTTTACTATTTCGGTGTTACAATATTTCTCTATTTCACTAATAACCAAACCTTTCAGATTGTTGGAACGATTGCAGTGTTTCTAGCATTGGTTTTGATAGCTCTGCCCGCTACGATTATAGTAACTAAATTCAGCGAGGAATACGAAAAGGGAGTCAGTCAAGTTGAACAAGATGATGTTATGGGGTGAAACTACCTTATCGGTCATAATCATCACGGATAACTTTTTCACGGACCAAATTTTTCACAGACATTATTATTCACGCTCATGACCGCCCAAAAATTTCCAAAAACGTTTTGAAAACTTTTGGTGATTTTTTAATAAATGTTTTACTCTTTTTCTGAACTCTAGAATGTGACTGAGGAGTGATTATATTTGTCCTAGTATACTAATAAGCTAATATAGTAATCGGCTACACATCATATCTACGCATAATGCATATGTAGGGACACACACACTAAAATTAATGGAAATAATTACCGGACTTCAGCGTAAAAATAACGTCCGTGATAATAATGACCAATATTAATAAGGTAAATAGAAATGAAGCTGATTAGATATAATATTAATGGTAGTAAAACTGTTAATATAATGGGACTGAAGTCTGAGTGATAGATTTCAGTTTTAAAGGCTGAAATTAATTTATTGAATCAATACACCGTATAACTTTTGACTTTGTTGTTATAATTATATTTATACTGTCACAATGTCACATATGAAATATGCATGTTCATGTTGATGTACAATATTCACTATTCAGTCTAGTATCATGAATAATTCAATAAACATATGATAGAATTGTATGTTATGCCGTAATGTCAATGGTGTTTACCTATAAACATTGAATTTATATTTTTAATGAAAAATTGAGCAGAATTAAATTATTGCATTGCAGAAAAATATGGAAATAAAGAGATTATGGAGATTTTCGTGAATTTGTGTTTATCTAAGCTAACTAAGTTCTTATACATTATAATTCCGCAACAAATGATTAGATTTTTGTCTCATAACACATAAGGTGTCGAGGTGATCACCATTCTCATATCCTCATCATGTCATCATGATTTCATTATTAATAAAGAAAGCCACGGCCACGATATGGTTGTAGGTTTATAACCTACCAAGGGCAAGACTTACTGTGCGGCGCTCAGCCTGTCATTCCGCCGAATCGCTAGATCGGCGAGATGCGCTACTGTGCCTCGCCGAGCTGCGATGAATTGACATCGTCAATTAACAATTATAAGCTCACCATGCTGCTCACTTTGCCCCTCCTGTGCACGCAGTACGCGTAGACGCATGGCTATGTTATATGTATGTCATATGTATATATATCTATATGTGAAATCCATAAACATTACCAATTTAATGTAAATAAACTTTATAAAATAAAGCAACTTTTATAGTTTTATGGCTAGCTGCGCGCGTGTCTTCAAATATAAAATAAAACGAATTTCACCAATTTCGGGTCGCGATTAAAAATTTCGACCGTGGCCGTGCTATAGCTATACTAGCTAGCTGTGTAAATGCTTTGTATCACGTTGTGGCCCCCAATGTCGTTTTGCGTTCGCGTTTCTCTATTGTATAGTGTAGAGATTTTACAGGGGAGCCGCGCACTCGTGCGCGGCGGGTTATACAACGTATGACAATAAATGCTTAAATCATAAATGCTTAAATCATAAATGCTTAAATCATAAATGATTACATATTTTTATTATGTGAGTAAGCTGTGGGATTGTAAAATTAGTAAGCTATATCAATTAATTTTGTAAGCTGATTGCAAATGGCGCGCGCGACATGAGCATCACTCAGCAGCAAATAATTAGGAGCAGTTTTTGACAATTGTTAATGATGAGGCCCGGCGCGAGCTATTTTGTAGCACTTTCCATCGGGCTAGTGCATAATATTTCGAGAAGAAAGCGGCGCGCGCTACTTCGAAGAAATTTAGACGAGTAACATCCGTCAAAAGCAGTTAGCATGCAGCGAGCAGCAGTTTTTTATTTCGGCCTTCCTCAGATCATGTATCTAGATCTGAGATTGTTGCTTTGCGAATTAACAAAGCAACGATTTGAAGTAAAAATGATAGCATGCGCGGCGCGTCGAACATCGAAGCGGCAAAGTCCTCCAAATTCGGAATCTGCGTTCGAAAATATATCGATTCAAGCTTGTCCATCATTAATGGACTTGGAGGACTTCGCCGCTTCGACGCGCCGCGCGAACTAGCATTCTTGCTTCGAACTAGTGCATTCTTGCTTCGTCGTCGATCGTTGCTCTGCTTTGCACGCAGAGCAACGATCTGATCGACGGATTGACATCGTCAATCAATTAATGGACAAGCCATTATTAATGGACAAGCCCGGCGCGCGCTACTTCGAAGAAATTTAGACGAGTAACATCCGTCATAAATTCAAGTTGGTTTCCACTGTCAGGGGCCCTTTTAGAACAATTGCTAAAATCGACTGTAAAGTAAATTTTGCCATACGTTGTATGACCCGCTGCGCACGAAGTGCGCGGCTCCCCCTGTACCGTCAGGACGATAGTGAAACTGTCAAGAAAAAATATCGTGTGGGGGTCGCAACGTGATACAAAGTAAATTAGCTCGCTTGGTTGAAAGCGAATCGCAACGAACAAGCCTTGATAAAATGGAACAGGGGATCGTTTAAGTATTAAAATTATTTTAAGGCATCTTGACAAAAGCCATTACACACCATAACATCCACGATATACTGCTTTTCACGGGAAAATGAGGCAGTAACGTTAATCTGAGATTAGTATTTTCTTATGAAAAGTATTCCAATAGTATTATAAAGTGATATTTATGAGTGCAAACAAAGTAACACACCAAACTATGGTTGAGATTTCTAACTTTGAATTACGATGAAACATAAAGT